CTTGCAAGACGGAGACGATTTGTGGTCACAAATCAGCATTGCAGATTTTCTGTGGCGTCCTTTTCGATATAGGGAGGAGGGATGTTTCGTTACGATACACGGCGAACCATGTTCACGAACAGACGGAACGGTAGAGACACGATGGTCTTCTCACCGGCGCTATCAAGTGTAAAAATGTCTGGGTCTGGAAGATTCTGAGATCTGTCATGCACATTTTGCATGAGCCATGATGTCTGTGATGCATGCCCTAGCATCACGGATTTTTTGAGGGCTTCTTGATGCCTATTCCGCATGACAAATGCCCTCTCCGCGTAGCAAGCATTGCGCTCCCTTTGCTGCTCATGCAATACAGATTTTTTTGGAATCCAAATGCAGCATCACAAGTTACATTCTTCCAGACCCAGACATCTTTACATTTGATAGGCGCCAACCAACCACGGAAGCGGTGGCAATATCAAGCCCGGGAAGATGACGTCGTATCAAGAAGAAAAATCCCCCCTCCCCATATCAAAATGGAAATCTGTGATGCAGATTTGCAGTCACAAATCAGCTTTGTCATGCTAGAAGGGAAAAGATGCGGACTGTAGTGCTGGGTGGCGTGGGGAAGCCTTGCATCTTCAGCATGACAGGAGGCAACTGGAAGTGGGAAACAGCATGACAAATTGCCTGCAAACGAGGCCACAACTGCGGCTCTTGGCCTTCTAGCATTACAAGTCGATTTGTGTACTCAAATACAGCATCACAAATTTCGTTTTCGATATGGGGTGGGGAGATTTTTCCATTTGATACGTCGGCGGCCAAAACTCCCCACTCTGTCCCTCCGAAAATCCAATCACCCGGCAGTGGTGGTGCAGTATCAGGAGAAAATGGAGCTGCAATAAAGGAATTGAGTTTAATCACCTCCCCAACCGCGAGTGGTCCCGCGGACCCGTTTCCCAGCCCGAAACACTTCACCTCAATCCTCCCCGAAACCACCGCCGCACGGCGCCTTTCGGCCGAGCGGATGCGGAAGAACATGAGTGCAGCTATGGGCGGAAATAATAGTACTACACACACGACGACGTCAGGTGGACACCAGCTTTTGATGCACAGTAGCAGCAAGGAGCGCCGGACGCGATCGAACAGTAAGGACAGTGTAGATCCGTTGAAATCGCTCATTCTCGCGGTGCCGATGGACTTGCAGAAGCAAAGCACCCTACCAGCGTCGTTTCAACGCGGAAATCATGTGGGACAACAGCAGCAAAATCCTGCTCTTTTACCGCAAAATAATAAACACTCTGCACACAACACCAACCCTCCAAGGATGAGTTCGCAGCAACCGCAAAGCCCGACGACCAGGCGGCAGTCCATGCTAGTGAGCCAAAACAGTGCGGGCGGGGTATCAAAAGGAAAAACCCCCCCTCCCCATATCGAAAACGTATCCGTCTGAAAATTTGTGATGCGCGTTTGTGACCTCAAATCCTGTCTGTCTTGCAAGAAGGCAAGTCCAGAAAGCGTTCCGCATTTTTCAGGCGGTTTGTGATGCTGTTTGGCTCAGGGCATACACGTTTGTCATGCTAGGCGCCTACGTCACACCTCTCGGCTGAGGCTTGACATATGCGTGCATTCCTCTACTGCAAGACAAATCTGATCTGTGTAGGGAGATCCAGCATCAGAAACTTCGTTTCGATATGGGGAGGGGGCATTTTTCCTCATGATACGGGGGCGGAATAAACTACCGGGCTTCTTCCGTCTCGCCGAAAAAGATGAACCAGCGTATAACCTGCTCAGCTGTTACAATCTCAAACGTTACAATAGAATCTGAGATTTGTCTTGCATGAGGAGCATGACAGACTCGCCGAGAGTTCTACTTTCTGCAATACAAATTTCGCCAGTTTGTAGTGGGGTTTGGGGCTCCGGAACTTGTCATGCGCAATCCTATGAGAGTTGGCTAGATCATGCACTCTTGCATCACAGATTTCATTATTCTATTGTAACGTTTGAGATTGTAACACCTGAGCGGGTCATACAACGACGACTCTCCCTTGCGGTGCAGCCGACGGTGGCACCAGAGGGGACGAGACTAGGAGGGAATACTATCCAAGAAAAAAAAGTTGTTAGTGTAAATTTGTAATGCGCAACACGCAAGATGATTGCGTCTGTCATGCTTGGCATGCGTCATAGGGTCCATTAAGGGGCGTTTTCCCGTACTATCTGCGCATGACAGGTTTTTGCTGTCATGCCAGACAAATTTGTAATGCTGTTCCTCCAAAAAAGTTACACCTACAATGTTTTTTTCTTGGATAAATACAGTAGCAGGCGCGCTTGCGAATAGGCTGGAGTTGAACCATAATAATAAACCCGATAATTTTGTTGCAGCTTTGAAACCTACTTCTCTTTTCACCCGGACCGACAGCACGGGCGACAGTGGAAGTACTAGTAACGCCGCAACAGCAGGACTGAAATTATCCGGGAGTAAACAAACCCCAGCGCCGTTGATACTGTCTTCCCCTGCGGCGAACGGGTCCGGTATCAAAATGAAAAATCCTCCCTCCCCATATCAAAACGTAATTTCTGATGCTGGATTTGTGTACACAAATGCGCTTTGTGTTGCAGGGAGGCATTGCGGCCAGATATGCAGCCTAGGCAGAGGCGTCTGGGTCTAGTTGTTCAGCATTGCAAACGGCTCCCCTTTAGGCCCACCAGCATGACAAACCGCGTCCATAATGGGGCGGAAGCTTCTGCATTTGGCTTCTTGCAAGACAAATGCGATTTTTGGCCACAAATCAGCAACACAAATTTTCGGAAACATATCTTTTCAATATGGGGAGGGGGGATTTTTCCTCACAATATCAGGAGCGTGGTCAACATCACCCGCGAGGAATACGAAGAAATCGGAAGCGCCTGCGGTAGTATCCTCTCCACACCAACCGAGGACGCCGAAGCACCGTGCTACGGCGGTGGCGCAGCCGGTGAAGATTGGGGCGCAACAGATGACCAGCACTGCAGCCGGAAATTCTCCTTCGCCAACAGCGAGAAACACGAAAGCCGACGGGGCCCAAAAGAGCAATAGCAAGCCGATGAAAAATAGCAATACAAAGTCCGCTTCTAAGATCATTCTGAGCAGGGAAGAGTCTTCATCCGACGACTTTTTCGGGTCGTCTACTTCGGATTCCGGATCTATGAAACGCAATTATGTTTTTGTTCTCGGCGGCCCTGCGTTCCCAACTTGTCATGCGAATAAATGTGCTTTATTTCGATTTGGGCATAGTATGCGAAACAGGCAAGGCCGGTGACAGGAGGGCAATACTTCGGATCATTTTTCGTGCCAAATTTGCCTGCTTCGTTGAGCCGTTCACATGGCAGATTGGGACAAGATGAAAGAACCGAGCAAGAAGTGATACAAGAACTTGCGTTCTTGCATACTGTCCGAAGTGACGCGTATGCATTGCAAAAGTATCGTACTCGTATAAATGCATTACAAATTTCCTCAGCATGAGAAATGAAATTTGTAATGCGAATCTACCTAAAGAAAAAGATTTGTACATGCATGACTGCATGCAATGTGAGTACGATAGTTTTGCACAGGATAACGCGGATTGTGAACCAAATGATGCTGTTTGAAAAGGAAGGAGACGGTGAGAAAGAAGAGCAGAATAGTGGTGGAAACATAAAAACGAAGCAAGAATCAGAGATGACTGCAGGAGGAATGAAGACAAATGCGCCATTCATGTCAAACAAAGACACAGTACCGGCCACCACCGATGCTTCCTCTTCCTCCCAAGACAACAGCCAGCAACTGCAGCCACTTTCGAAGCAGCAAACCGCTATCGTGAGGAAAAACTTCCCCTCCCCATACTGAAAAGGCAAATTTCCGGAAATTTGTGATGCTGATTTGTGGTCACACATCGTGTCTGTCTTGCAAGAAGGCAAACCCAGAAGGCCCCCCGCATTATGCCGGCGGTTTGTGATGCGGCAGGGCCTACAGCATGGACTTTTGTCATGCTCAGCGCCTAGGCCAAAACCGCTCCCACTCAGGCTTGATATGGGCCTGCAGTCCTCTACTGCAAGACAAGGCTGACTCGTGTACGCAAATCCAGCATCAGAAGTGTCGTTTTGACATGGGGAGGGGGGATTTTTCCTTACGATAGCCGCAACCTCGAATTTCCCGTTCTCCGCATCCCCCTCGGTCAAGGACGGTACGGACATCATTCGCGAAAGCTGGTCTGTGAGCAAGCGCTACCAAGTGCAAAATTGTCTGGTTCTGGAAGAATGCAGCTTGTGATGCGCATTTGGATTCCAAAAAAATCTGTATTGCATGAGTAGCAAAGGGAATGCAATTTTTGCTACGCTGAGAAGGCATCTGTCAGGCGGAATAGGCATGATCAAGAAGCCCTCAAAAAATCTGTATTGCTAGGGTATGCATCACAGATATCATGGCTCATGCAAAACGTGCATGACAAGTGTCAGAATGCTTCTAGACATTTTTACAGTTGATAAGCGCAGTGTGAACGCGGCGAACGCCAGTTCGGGACACTACGTGCGGTATATGGATTGCAAAAATGTCTGGGTCGGGAAGGTTGGAACTTGTCATGCTAAATCTGAATCAGGCAAAAATCTGTGTTGCATGATTTGCAAATGCTGTCCACTTTTGATCAAGTTGAGAGGCACTGTCTCATGCAGGATAGGCATGATAGTGATCTCTCGGAATCTGTCATGCTAGGTCCTCCATTACAGATTAGATGGGTCATGGAAAACCTGCATGACAAGTCTAGCAAAGTTCCAGACCCAGACATTTTTACACTTGATACGGTACCCGGATGTGCACGAAAGCGAGATTCTGATCCTGTTCAAAGCCTTTGACAAATACGCGGTCGTGCCCACAATCCCCTCACCGGCGTCACCCAGCGGGCTGAATTCCCCATTGCGAACGGAAGCAGGTGCAAGTCCCGGTGGTCGTCCGGTCGTGAAGGTGGAAAACGAAAAAGACGAAAGTGCCCAAGGAACTTCTGTGAAAGGCACATCAGTGAATGCTGGAGCTAAGGCACAGGCCAGTGCGGGGGATCCTGCGGCAGCAAAGCCAGAAGCGACGGTGCAGCGAAAGTCGGGGAAAATGCTGTACCGCAGAAGATCAAGCGTGTTGGATGGATTGCTGTCTTATCGAAATGAGGAAATTTGAAAGCATAACGGGGTGGAAGTTTGTCATGCTGGGGAACAAGCGCAACAAGATTTTGATTTGTCATGCTTGTGAAGTATAGTAGCAGGAACAGGGAAACGTTCCGGCGGATCTACTAGCTCTGCATGACAAACTCGTTTCTACGCGAGGTGATTCGAAATTTCTGATGCATACCTTCGGCGACAAAGGCAAGAAGCAGCTCTCCTCCTCCACGGTGCAACACGTCGGGCATTGGCGGGGCGGCGGGCCGCGTCGGCGCGCGACGCAGGAAGACCTCACCACGACGCAAAAAGAAGATAGCGACTGGGACAAGAAGGGTGCGAACTTGACTTTTGGTCCGGACGGGCGGCTGGAAATGAAATCTAGGCGGAGCGGGATGACGCACGGAAACGGGCAAGCGTCGGTAACGCAGCACAGGAGGTTCTCTTTTTCAACGGAAAGCAGTTCGGCGGTGCGCGACCAGAGCAGACATTTATGCATTGCCGACAGTATCGTGTGTTTACGTACAAATTGCATGGCAAAGTTTATTTCCGCAGACGAAGATATGAAACTTCTCATGCAGCTTCAGGATTTTAGAAAAGCTGATTTTGTCATTCGAGATTGCAATTTGTACGGCATGGCCGATACTATGTTTTCGCAGAATCTTCGCATTCCGGCTTCGCAAATTTGAAATCAGCTTCTAAGGAGAGGCTGCTCAGTACTAACGAGGCTGGAAACAGTGCAACCGGTGGTGGAAATTTGGTGAAGCGGAAACCCAAAGGGTTATCGCGCACGGACTCCTGTTATTCTGTGTAAAAACGTCCGCACCCCATAGTTGTCACGCAAATCTGCATGCCAAAAAAGTCTCTCATGCGGAGCCCCATGAGAAGCATTTTCTGGTCATGTTTTGGAATTTGTGATGCTAGAATCAAAACGATAAGCTAGATCTGTGATGCTTCTGAACTACCTAAACAGGATCACACTACGAGGACAAACTTGTCATGCGAAACAACCAAAGATGGCTATTTTGTCGTGCAGATTTCCCATCTTGACTCTGGTTCGGGGACGTTTTTACTCAGGATACCTGTCTGGGCATGTTCGGCGGAGGTGGTGCGGGAGGGGTCGTCACAGAAACGAGCTCCCCTAATACCTCGCCAAACCGGAAGCGGAGGGTTTCTAGCTCCACGAGCCCAAACGCTGGTGCTGCGAAGCACGAGAATGGCAAAAGCCCGAGATCGAGTCCGCGTGGCAGTCTAGCGAAAATCAACAGCCGCCGGAACAGCAGCAGCACGCAGCCAAATGTGAATAACAGCGGCAGTCCGAAGCGGGCTTCACAGGCGAACGAGAAAAAGCGGCCGTCGGAAGGGCAACCGCAACCACAGCAGCCGCCCTCGCCTGTGCCGCAGATCGAGGATTTTCTTTTGGAAGATCTTTTCCGCCATCTGCCGTCTGCAACGAGTTCTACCCCTCTGATCCGTTTCAAACGCCCGGAAGACGACGAACCACCACATATTCTGAGTAAAAACGTCCCCACGACCTCAGAGTTGTCATGCAAATCTGCATGCCAGAAAAGTTTCTCATGCGGAGCCCCATGAGAGACACGCTCTCTCGTCGTGTTTCGAAATTTGTGATGCTAGAATCAGCATGAGATGCTAGATCTGTGATGCTTCCGAACTAGCTAAACAGGATTACACTACGAAGGTAGACTTGTCATGCGAAACAGCCAAAGCTGGGTGATTTGTCTACGCAAATTTCTCATCTTGAATCTGTTCGTGTGGGGACATTTTTACTCAGAATACCACCGTTTGAGGGCACGGACGCCCGACTCCTGTTTTCCCCACGACAATATTCTTGAGAAAAAAACAGGCAGGGCAGATTTGTGATGCAAAAATAAATACACAGAAAAATCTGGCATGGGCGGGCTCATAGCATTCGGTTTAGGATATGCAATACAGATTTTTTTGTGTTTTTATTTTCGCATTACAAATGTGACCTGCATGCTTTTTTTTGTGTGATAGACAACAAATGGGAACGCCCAGTTTGCGGGAGGACAGCGAGCAGGGGGGAAACAGCGGTTTGGGAGCTGCAGGAGGACAGAGTCCACTAGGAGCTGGCAGTGGCACAGCGAGCATTGGGTTAGGCGGTGGCAGGATCATGGGCAACCTTGCGGGCGAGCATCTTCAACAAGGGGTACAACTTCCAGGGGGTACGTATGAATTGCAAATATGTCTGGGTGTGGAAGAATGCAAGTTTGTCATGCTTGTCTGGCATGACTCGAGAATTTGTGTTGCAGAAGCACGAAAAGGCACTCTTACCTGTCATGCAAAAACGCAGTTTGCCATGTGGAATGCCTAACACATGGCAGCCAAAGAATTTGTCATGCATAGCTGCGTATTGCAGTGCGTCCATCATTTACTTTTAGCATTACAAGTTTCCAGACCCAGGCATATTTGCAATCCATAGTACGAAAGACCCGACAAACTCCTCCCCGGCAGGAGGACCACCGACGGGAACTCAGCTGACCGAACAGCAGCTGACCGCAATACGGAATGCGAACATCAGTGAGGACGAGGAGGAAAGTGACCAGTTTTTCGCACCTACGATCAGCAACAAAACTTCCTCCGCCAGTATCCTGAGTAAAAACGTCCCGGTCTAGAGTTGTCATGCAAATCTGCATGCGTAAAACGTTTCTCATGCGCATCCCGATGAGGAGCATTTTCTCATGGTCTGTGGTACTTTGTTATGCACTAGTCAGGATGAGGAGCTAGCTTCCTGATGCGGCTTCACTAGCCAACCAACGGACCACTACCCTAGGAACCCAAACTTGTCATGCGCAGCAACCGATCCCTCTGGATTTGTATTGCTAAAGTAGTTCCCAACTTGAGGACTCTGGGGTCGTGAGGACGTTTTTGCTCGGGATAGCCAGCCGGGCGCTGAAGAATTTGGAGGAGAGCATCAGCAAGAACGAGATCCGGAGCCCGATAGTATTCTATGTAAAAACGTCCCCACACCGTAGTCAAGTTGGGAAGTCTGCAAGACAAATCCCCAAGTTTTGGGAGTTCTGCATGACAAGTCTCCATCTCCAGCGTAGTGCTGGCTAGCAAGAAAAGCCTCATGAGAAAGCTATTCTCTCATCCTGTTTACAGCATTACAAATGCGCAAACACGATTTGAGTTGCACATTTGCATGACAACTCTGGGGTGGGGACGTTTTTGCTCAGGATAGATAGGGATCGAGAGTCAGAAACTGGGGGCTGGAATGACTGCGGACGGGAAACAAGGCATGATTGCGGCGACGAATTCCGCGAACGGAATTGCAGGTGGAGCAATCGGTGGCGCGATGGGGGCTTCGACCTCGCCGGCCAACATGAGCGGATTTGTTATCAACTGCAAATATATCATCTGAGTCTCGAAGAGTGCAAACTTGTCATGCAGGTTTTCTAGGACCCAAGAGGTCTGGAATGCGGGACCTAGCATGACAGACTCGGTGAGGCCTCTGTCATGCCTATCCTGCATGAGAAATCCCCTCCCAAATTGGTCGAAAATGGACAGCTTTTGGCACTCATGCAACACAGATTTTTGCATGGTTTGGATTTAGCTTGACAAGTTGCAATCATCCAGACCCAGACATATTTGCAATCCATATTTGTGAAGAAACAGCCAAACGCGTATCTCTCCGCAGTTTTGTCTAGTACAGCTACTGAGGAGCAGAACAACAACAAATATGCAAAAAAAAAACTGTGCAAGTGTAAATCTGTGATGCAGAAAATGCAAAACGGTTACATTTGTCATGCTCGACATGCATGATTGCCTCGCTTCCTATGTGTTTTCCTTTCCTATCTGCGCATAACAAGTTTTTCTTGTCATGGCAGACAAACTTGTGATGCTGTTTTCCCAAAAGACTCACACTATCACAGTTTTTTTCTTGGATAACAAACCGACAGCGTTCAGCACCACCTCCCCGACGAGCTTCGGAATAAACCAAATGAACTCTACCGCGAATAATTCTCCTCTGCAGAGCCACGCCAGCTACTCGAATCTCCCGCCGATGCGAAAAACAAAATTCGCGAATGACGGGACGCAGTATCAAGAGCAACTATCTCTGGGTCTGGAAACCTGTGATGCTTATTTGCTGCTGGTCGCAACGCTTCCCATGGCAGCCACGCATGACAAGTTTTTGAAACGCCTTCTGATGTCTAGGACGCATTACAAATTGCGTTTTCGCATGAAAAAGGAAGCGGCTCTTCTGCTGCTCCCGCAACACAGATTTTCTAGGAATACAAGACACGCATTACAAGTTCCATTTTTCCAGACCCAGACATATTTGCAGTTGATACGCAGCCAATGATGGCGACTGGAGTTGGTGGTGGGGCAGGCGGGGTCATCAGCAATGCGGCTTGTTCACCGCTAACTAATAAAAATCTGTCCTATAACCAGAACGTCGCTTTGAATGGCTACACGAATAGTCCGGGGGCGATGAATCAGGACAACCAGAGTGCGGCGAAGTCACGCTTATGCATTGCAAATATGTTTGGGTCTGGAGGTGGTAACTTGTCATGGTAAATCTGAAGCGTGCAAAAATCTGTGTTGCATGAGTGCCAAAAGCTTTCCACTTTCGACCAAGTTGGGGGGGGAGTTTCTCATGCAGGATAGGCATGGCGGAGACCTCGCAGAGTCTGTCATGCTAAGTCCCGCATTCCAGACCTCATGGGTCACGGAAAATCTGCATGACAAGTTTACATTCTTCCAGACCCAGAGATTTTTGCATTTGATAACGCTATTATGCGAACAAATCCTCGTTACAGCAGATGGCCAGTTTGATCGCGGAATCCAGTATCAAAATGAAAAATCCCCCCTCCCCATATTGAAACGGAAATTTCTGTTGCTGGATTTGTTTACACAAATCAGCTCTGTCTTGCAATGAGGCACTGCAGGCAAAGCCTCAGCCTGCACAGGGGTGTTTTTGTGTAGCTGCTTAGCATAGCAGAGGCCTTCGATGTAGGCGTAACAGCATGACAAATCTCCGGTATGAAGCGGCGGACTCTCTGGATTTGCCCCCTTGCAAGAGAGGCAGGATTTGCGGTCACAAATCAGCATCACAAATCTTTTCAGTATGGGGAGGGGGAATTTTTCCTCTCAATATCCAGAAACAAATTGCTAGCGAAGACGGATATCCAGCACTGCTTGCGAGAATTGGGGATCTGCAAGCGGCACAACTGGTTTCTGTGGGACGAAGCGGAGCGGATTTTGGAGCAGGTGGGCGAGACGAACAGCAAACTCGCGTTCTTGCCGTTCCTGGCGCTTTTCCAAAGGCTCAAGGAGTTGTCGAAACGAATGCTGATGGACATCTTTGACAGCTACAGCAGCAGCCCGAACCGAGAGGAATCCAAGATTCTGACCATGAGCGAAGTATCGAGGCTGCTGACGGATATCGGGCTGGCACCGAGGACGAAATCGGAGCAGGACCAGATGAAAATATCGGATGGGAAGAATGTTGAGTTTGTCATGCGGCACACGAAGTGTAGATACAGTTTCTATATGCATAAGATCCTTGTGATGGTGTCTCCACACATTAACTCAACGACTTTCCACTTTCGATAATCAGCGATTCTTTCGGACTCCGACGTGGATAGCAGTGGCGAGATCGACTTCCTGGAATTTCAAGGGCTGTATGCACGCGTGATCTTGGAGTTCGAATTCGGACAACAGGAGCAGATGCTGTACGAGGCGAGATATTACCATGAAAAATGCCCCCTCCCTATATCAAAAAATCTGTGATGCAGATTTGTGGCCACAAATCAGCTTTGTCATGCTAGAACAGGCAAAAGATGTAGACACTGTAGGGGTGGCTAGCGTGGGAATAAACCTTTGCATCTTCAGCATGAGAGGAGGCAGCTGGAAGTGAAAAACAGCATGACAAATTACCTGCAATCTAAGCCACAGCTGCGTCTCTTGGCCTTTTAGCAATACAAGTCGATTTGCGTACTTACATACAGCATCACAAATCTCCTTTATGATGTGGGGAGGAGGAGTTTTTCCTTTCAATACGAGGCAGCTGGGATTTACGGACGAGGATCACGTGCTGGAACTGAAGGAGATTTTATCAAATGCAAAAATGTCTGGGTGTGGAAGAATGCGCGATTTGTCATGCTGCTTTTCCATGACCCATGAGGTCTGGAATGCAGGACCTAGCATGACAGATTCTGCGAGACCTTTCTAATGCCTATCCTGCATGACAAACTATCTCCCGACTTGGTCAAAACTGGACGACTTTTGGCACTCATGCAACACAGATTTTTGCATGCTGCAGATTTAGCATGACAAGTTGCAATCTTCCAGACCCAGACATTTTTACATTTGATAGATTTTCGACATTATCGACACGGACCATAGCGGGAATTTGGATATCACGGAGGTGCGCGAGGTGATCGGGAAGCTCTACCACATCGCGGCGGGGCAGTCGTTCCTGACCAGCGAGTGCCTCTTATCCAAGAAAAAAACGTTGTTAGTGTAAATTTGTGATGCGCAACATGCAAAATGATTGCGTCTGTCATGCTTGGCATGCATTGTAGGGCCTTGTGCAGGGCGTTTTCGCATACTATCTGCGCATGACAGGTTTTTGCTGTCATGCCAGACAGATTTGTGATGCTGTTCCTTCAAAAGAGTTACACCTACAACGTTTTTTTCTTGGATACCTCTGGGGGCTATTTCACTCTTTGGACCTGCACCCGCTGAAGGACCAGATTGATTTTCCGAACTTTCTGCGCATGATCCGCTGCATAGAGTCCGGGCACCCAGAATTTGCTCATCTGAAGGCGATCTTCGGTGTCGGTGAGGACTTTCTGGAATCGGGAATCGGGCTCCTTAGCCTGGCGAGTGCGGAGGATGGCTCTGCAACCGGGGATGACACCGACGCGACTTTGACCAAGGGTGGAAAGAACGGGGCAGGGGATCAGGGAACGAACGGATCGGCGATTGGCCGAAGGCGGACGGAGGGCGTGGGATTCCCAGGACGCAGCGGGACACAGCAGGAGGCGAATGAGACGTCGTCTTCCGAGTCGGACTTCATGTCGTCTCCGGTGGGGAGATGACGGGCGGGATGGTATCAAAAACGAAATTTGTGATGGTATCAAAAACGAAATCCCCCCTCCCCATATCGAAAACGAAATTTGTGATGCTATATTTGAGTACACAAATCAACTTGTAATGCTAGAAGGCCAAAAGACGCAGCTGTGGCCTCGTTTGCAAGAAATTTGTCATGCTGTTTCCCACTTCCAGCTGCCCCCTGTCATGCTAAAGATGCGAGGCTTTCCCACGCCAACCAGCACACAGTCCGCATCTTTTCCCTTCTAGCATGAAAAAGCTTATTTGTGGCCACAAATCTGCATCGCAGATTTCTAGTTTGAGTATGGGGGGGGATTTTTCATTTTGATAGATGGAGGAGTGAAGAACGGCAACTATCCATGGAAAAAAATGAGTAGACACTGCAGTAAAAGTCAGCAACCTACACATGATCAAAAATATTAAGACGTGCTTCTGAAAAATGCATCTGTACCAATCCAGCAGACAACAGTGAAGTAAAGCAGTGAAGTAAAAGTAAATAGGCCTTTAGGACAAAATATCAAAGGTCCTGAAGACAACAATACCAAATTTAGGAAGGGCAACGATAGTTGCAAAGGTACGGAAGTATAGAAGACTACCGAGTTAAATTGGCATGCCAACACTGAAAGGAATGAAGTTGTAGCTATAAGCAATGAAGCCGTAGCAGTAAGCAATGAAGTCGTAGCAATAGCAGTGAAGTCGTAGCAATAGCAATGAAGTCGTAGAAATAGCAATGGAATGATCGTAGTGATAGCAATGGGACCGTATGATGAGGCACTGAAAATAATTCTCGATGGACAGAAGCACTGAATGTTAATAATGCATGTATGGGGCTTTTACTGTACAGAGTATTGGTGTATGAGACAGACGACATGGTCTAGAAAACGTTTCAAGTTGTAACTGGAAGACTCATATAAAATCGTAAAATTATTGCAATAACAATGATCCGCAGGAAAATTACGAAAAGGAGAATCTTCAAGCAGCATGTTATTAAGTGGCGGAACAGTACTTGGGCTTTGTAAGTAGTTTCAGATAACACAAATGTCGTGTCTTTGGATACGCTATATGCAAGCCGTGCTCCCTACGAAACAAGGTGTTCAGCGAGAATGAATTAAGCTGTCGGTTTTTGTTTCTGGTTGCACGGTCCTCACGCCGTGCCAACTCTTCTCGGTGGTTACCTCAAGATCCAACGGTTCGTCGATCCTCACAACAAAAGATCATCTGTTTCTTCATTGTTGTTTAGAAAAATTGCTTCTTCTGTTGCTTTTTCGTCTTTCCTCCCACGTTTGGTTTTCGTCTGCATCTGGACTTGCAATTCGGAACAATTTGATTTTTGTGAATCAACTGAAAAAACCATAGGACTTCGAAAGGTGCAATTCCTTTCACAGTAATATCCCTCCTTTCACACAAACCCAAAATGGCGTTTCTCTGGAATGCGTTTGGTCAGAACGCAGGTTCTGACACCAACCAAGGACGACGCGGGTCCGAACTCGGACCATTATCCAAGAAAAAAACTTGATTTGAACATGATACTATGCTGGTTGTGCATAATTAAGACGACATTTGTATGCGGACGACGTTTTCTCGCTATGCATAACATCAGTGTAAGAATGTGTAAGCATTTTCTGCGTGAGAAATTCTTCTGTCACAGCAAATCAGCATTACAAATCAAGGAAAAACCTCTTTCATAGATGACCCTCTCGAGCAACGGTGACAAAATGTTGAAGGACTTCCGCGCCTCCGTCCACAACCACCTGCCAAATTTAGGAGGCGACAACGTATTTTTATATTGCAGTCATGCATTACAAGTTTTTTTCTCAAGGTAAATCCGCATTACAAATTTTATTTCTCATGCGGAGGGAATTTGTCATGCGTTTATACGAGTACGATACTTTTGCAGTTCATATTTTTTACCACTTATTAATTGCTTTGCATCAGAAATTTGTTTGTGATAATGAGCTTGTACATGTTATGGTATTCTCGTCTGTAGAAGACTCCTACGCATTTTGTCATCCTCTTTTGTGAAACAAAACAACTAAACCCCAACTACAGCATGCGTCCAAGAACCAGGGTGTCATCCACACGACCTCGCTGCCGAGTACTGCCGCCCTATGAAGTGAAAATATGTCTGGGTCTGGAAAATAAAGTGCAAGTTTGTCATGCTTGTCTGGCATGACTCAGAAATCTGTGATGCATGAACAGGAAGAGGCCCTCCTGCGTGTTATGGAAAAACGCAGTTTGTCATGCGGAAAGCGAAATATAAAGGAGCCCAGGAACTTGTCATGCGTGGCTGCGTATTTTTGCAGTGCGCCCACCAGACACAACCTAGCATCACAAGTTTGTTCCAGTCTCAGACATATTTGGAATGCATACGCCAGCGAGAACACCAACACCCCCGCGTTCCACCTGCGCAAGCAGTTCGACTATCAAAACAGAAAATGCACCCGAGGCCGTACTCAAAAAGGAAATTTGTGATGCTGTTTTGTCACCACGAATCAAAAACAAGTGGCCCGTCGCAATCATTTGCAGATGATTTCTCATGCTGCTTTCTGATGTGGAACAAGGTGCGCGCGGTGCTAAACCGCTGCGCACGTACTTACACCACTGGGCAGTTGTCTCGGAAATCGTCTACTGAGGTCGTGTCTATTTTGCAAGACAGGATGTTCATTCGGGCATACAAATCGCGCATCACAAATTACTCTTTTTTGAGTATTGAGACGGGTGACGCTTTTCGTTTTGATATCAACGCAAAACCTATGCCATTCAAAGTGAAGGAAAGGATCCAGGCCATCCCGCTGCGGAACCCGGCAATGCAGGATATCACAATTGAAAATTTTCAATCGCCCGTATGCAAAGAAACAGTTTCAGTCATGGGTTTCATGTTCCAAGCTCACGATGTAAGTAGCATTAGCATTGTGTTTTGAAAAAATACCTCCCCTTGTAGTTCAAATAGGCGTTGTCATACAACTGTAATGCGTGATGGTGACGGGTTGCACCACAGTAAGTCGTGGCACCAGATGCAGCCTTTGTTCCGCATCTTTGCGTAGTACCGGGAAAGTAAAAATTTTCACTGTGATAATCCTTGACCGAAATTTCCTGCGAGACCAGCGAGAATTTGGCTTCCTGAACGCAAAGGCCGGCCAACAACCAGGAGTCGGCGGAGCGTACGGGGTATCCTGAGTAAAAACGTACCCACATCAGAGTTGTAATGCAGATTTGCAAAGACAGGAAGACTTGTAATGCGCATCCCCATGGTAGCCATTTCCAGTCGTGTTTTGGAATTTGTGACGCTGTGAACCGGATGAGCAGATGAGTCTGTGATGCGGCTGCACTTGCTAGCCTGCAGTACACTGCATCGCGCAACTTGTCATGCGTGACTCACAAAGCCCCTAGGTTTGTGTTGCAAAATCCCCATCCTTACTCTGGTGTGGGTACGTTTTTACTCAGGATACGGGGGAATGCATCCGTATCCAACGAAAAATGAACAGCGTTTGAAAAGGAAGAACAGGAAAATCACTAGGAATTACCCAAGGGACCTATCGTCTAGGCATCGTTCTGCGCATGACAAGCTTCGTTGTAAGGGATGCAAAAAGATAACTTGTTGAGCACGTGGTCATACGAGCGTCGGTTTTGACGACTACGAGATGCAGACGTGCGAGTGGCCGCCTTCTCTGTTCTACAACACCCCAACGCTGCGTGTGTCCTTTCCATACCCCACTCCAGAAGAACGAGATCACCCACACCGTGCGAAAGCATATCCCGAAGAAAAAGTACACCCATGTCCTCGGAAGAGAAGGCAATTTGCGATGGATGCAAACCTTCCTGTGCGATGCAGATGTTGCTTTGCTGTCATGAAATAGCGCAGAGACTGTCATGCGGGATAGGGAAGATAGGTTTGTGACCCTGACAGGATTCGTCTTGCAGGATAGGCAAAGTGCCCGCCTCCGTAATTCTGAAATTGCATCACAGATTTGGGTGTAACTTTCTTCTGGGATAGTCGAATCAGTCCACACCTTGTACGAGGGCACAGTCATCGCGGAGATATCCCAAATACGAAAATGAAAAGGCTATAGATCCTGGGATGTTGACCCAAACTTGTCATGCCGTGTAGCTCGTCGATCCTACAGTCCCACTTTGTCATACGATCTGTGATGCTGCGTCACAAATTAATAGCACCTTGGTGACGTCGTGCAGCATGCCTCCACTCCTTCTCGCTCTGCTGCGCATGACAAACTTGGCTCCTTGCCGGGAGAAGTTTGTATTGCTGATTGGCATGACAAATTTGGGTCACCTAGTATCATTACATTCTCCTTTCATACCTCTCCGTCAAGAAACCGGACAACATCTCCGCGAACTTGTGGTTGGCCAACAACTTCGTCAAGATTTTCAAAGAGGTATACAATTTTTGTTTTTTTGTCAAAAATGATCCCCCCAGCTCCTACCCAAAGGGAAATTTGTGATGCCGAATTGTGACCACATAATTTTGTACCGGAACAAGGCGCTTCTAGCGGCGCAGCAGTGCTGCGTGCCATGCAAAACGGCTACATGCTACATCTCTGCGCGCAGACTTGGAAACTGCCCGAGAAAATGCGTTGTTTCAAGAAATCAATTGTGGATCACAAATGCTCATCGCTGGGTATGGGGCCGGGAATTTTTAACTTTGATTTCTGCGTCGTACTAAAGTTAACAACAAAGTTCTCAATCACGAGAATCGCATCTGATCATGTTGTTGCGTGAAGACAGTACGTAGCGATGAGTTAAGGTACACACACACATGATGAATTTTAGAATAAATCCACAACAACAGATTTCGATGGTCTCCTCGTTCATGCTGGCCGGCGCGTGCACGGAGCAGTCCTGCCCCACGATGCGTGCTGTATCAAAAGGAAAAATCCCCCTCCCCATATGATCAAACACAGTTTCTCATGCTCAATTTGCGTACACAAATCAAATGGCTTGCTGGAAAGGACTGCAGGCCTATGCTGAGCCTGAGTAGCGAGATTTTGGGCTAGGCACTGAGCATGGCAAAGGTCTACTCTGTAGGGGCAACATCATGACAAACCGCCTGCAGAATGCAGCGGAGTCCGTGGAGTTGCGTTCTTGCAAGACAGAGACGATTTGTGACCACAAATCAGCATTACAAATTTTCTGAGACGTACCTTTTTGATATGGGGAGGGGGGATTTTTCCTTTTGATATGCCGGCACCCACAACTACCTCTGGCAGGACCACAACCCCGACGGCACCGTGACCTCCGGTATGCATTACAAAAATGTCTGGGTTTTGGATTTTTGTGATGCGAAATTTGAAGAACAGCAAGATCTGTAATGCGTGGATGGGATTGGTCATTTTCTCTCTCATGCTGGAAGCAAGTTTGTCATGCGTTTTACGAATGAATCTGCAGCAAGCTTTGAAAAACGTTTATATGCTGTTATGCCGTACAGGAGGTACGAATTTCCTGTACGAAGCGAGTATAAGCAACACAAACTTCCAGAGACCCAGACACCTATTTGCATTTCATATCCGGCGTGCCGCTCTCCGCCCCGAAGTACATCAAGGCCGTCTTGGACACCGCACAGAACTTCCTCAATGACCGAAGAGTCTTTCCCACGCACGGTGGCGAATTTCCAGAGTGCTTTCAGGAACTGGTATAGAGAGTTTTTTTGAATTTTCTGAGGAGAGAAATAACCAACAGAATCAACAGCTTGTTAGAGTGGTAGACTAATTTAGATCGCATGGTTTTTTCAGCCGACTGCTACCCATGTCGAAGACCAACGTCAAAGCTCGATTCTTTTTGAGAGGACGTACTCATGATGCAGTTTACCAACATTGGGGTACTAAAACCTACGTGTCTACTTGCATTCCGTGTATCCAAACTCCAAAACAGGTCGGCCCGGTGGTCCGTCGCTTTTTCCGGTGCTATTGCCACTTCTACCGCCACCACCTCCAGCAAATGGAGGAGCTCGGCATCGAGAAGCGCGTGCGGTTCTGTGCGGCGTTCTGCATTATGATTTTGAAAATCGGTTCTGCACTTGGTATTTGCTATGCGCCGTTTCACGTCTAACTCTGTATTTGCGAACCATGGCACGAGCAGGTAGCAGTGCGGTGTTCGTTAGTGCAGTCTGTACAGTTTTGCACCATCATGTTTTCCTCCGAAACAAACCTCCACATGTCAGATGCCAAAGCCGTTTTTCGAAATCATAGCAAGCTTGTTCTGCTTGGAGCACGACCTGTGCACCCCGGTCGAGTATCAATTGCAAATGTGTTTGGGTCTGTAGGATTGGAGGACTTGGCATTCTTGTTTGGTGTGAGTCTGGGCTCTGTATTGCATGCTTACGAAGAAGTCTTCTAGTATAATCTGTCATGCAGCAACGAAATTTGTCATGCAAAAAGAGTATCAAGCTCAAGATTTACCAGCCCAAAAACCTGTTATGCTTGCTTGTACATTGTAGTCTCCTTCACTCTTCGCATCCTAGCATTACAACCTCCCAGACCCAGAACTATTTGCACATGCATATCGAGTACGAAACCATCTCGCCGTTGATCGACGCGTGGGTCAAAGAAGTATCAAGTGTAAAAATGTCTGGGTCTGGAAGAATGCAACTTGTCATGCTAAATCTGAAGCATCCAAAAATCTGTCTTGCATGATTAAGTACCAAAAGTCGGGAGGGAGTTTCTCGTGCAGGATAGGCATGAGAGAGATCGCGCAGAATCTGTCATGCTAGGTCCTGCATTCCAGGCCTCATGGGTCATGGAATAGCTGCACGGCAGGGCGCGAGTTCTTCCAGACCCAGACATTTTTACATTTGATAGGAAGCGGAGGTCGCCAGCAAGGGAAACAGCACGGGCGGCTCCAGCGGGACGGCCTCGCCGTAAAACGAATTTCGATGTAACGTGTAGTTTGAACTTGTCGGTTACGGTTTCGTAGTTTCGCACTTTTATGCACACATGAAGAAAAATATTATCGGTTGTATACAGTATGTCAACTTGTTTTAGCTGGTAAAGGAAGGAGTTTCGTACAGTGAAGTTTGAAGCTCGAGTAAATGCACAGAGTCCAAAAATAGGTCGAATAGGCTGGTGATTTGCAAGAAAAAATGAAACTACAAGTATTATTGGCTTAGAGAGAAAAGTTGTACAACTGCCGAGCGCCTTGCACAGGTCATTTATGTAAACCCGATCGCCGTATCACGTTGTTAAAATCCTAAATCTGACAGAGGTGCCGAAAATCTAAAGGCATCGTAGTTGTATTGTCACTTATTCGTCGCAATTATAAAATTTCGCCCGGTAATACACACATAAAGCCAGGAAATGGCATTGTTTTACAGGCGGGAAACAAGTAGTACAGAAGGAAGAAGGACAAGAGATAAAAACTGCAATTCTAGGATTCAAAGATGAGAAGGAAAAGATCAAAATCGAAACTCAATGTAGCTGTTACTGGACGTACAACTGTATAAAATTGTAACTTTCAGTTGAGTAGCAATTCGTGTAGTTGCGACTTCTAACTATTTTAGCGGGAACACAGCTCCCCTGCAAGAAATGGAGAAAGTACGTCGGACACAACGTCCATCTTGTGTTCTGCCGCGAAGCTGTTGATGGTGGTACGAAGACCCCTGTTGTGTTTCGCGCATTTGGATCAGACTTGTGTCTTTTGTTCGATGCTGAAAAAATGTCAAGTTGCTGAAAGACCCCAGATGCTGGTTAAGCTTCTGAAGATGATGGTTGAGAACGAAAGATCTCGTCGTCTTGCGTCTTCCCGTTCATGTTTTCATCAAAGATCCTTTTGTCAAGCTTCATCACACTTTCATCTTTTTTTCTTTTAGGACGATGTTGTGGTAAATAGCGCGGATAGGATAAGATGCCAGCACTGTGAGAAACAATCACAAAAAGATGCGTACTCTCCTCGTCCCTCCCCGCGACCTCTGATCGCGGGATAGATCGCGGACTGCGAGCGCTTGCTCGTTCATCAGATGTTGCTGTCGAGCCATTGAGAATTCAAGTGCACCACAGTGGTCGGTAACATAAAAAGATGCGGCTCTTTCCCCACTCTCTCCGATCATTTCTGATCGTGAGCACCAAGCTGGTGCTTGTACATAAAGTTTCCGCAAAAGAACTTGTTGATTTGCGAGCGCCCGTTAGGAAAGAAAGTCCACCAGCGCAAGTCGAGAAAGAACTCGCGAAGGGGAAGTTGCAAAAGCCACCTAAAGCTGCGGATCGACAAGACCACAAAGGCGAGAAAGCCGCTGCGCAAGACTCGGTGCGAGAGGCACATAGAGCAGAAGCACTTTCTCCAAGCACGAAATCAGACACAGGCCAGCAAGATGCACTAGAAACGAAGGGAAAAGGTACCAAAGGACAATGTTTGGTAGAGTTTCGTTTTTGGTTTGTTTAGCCCCGTTTCTCATGGTGCACGTTTAGTTTTTCACGGTTTTCGAGGAAGCGTTTGTTAGCCAGGGAATTCAACCATACAACCCCACTTAAGAACATTGAAAATTGAAGGACAAATCAACCTGTCACAGCCCACTTATGGTCGTCATATGTAATTTTGAAAAATTCACTTAAATATCAGGTCCGCCCCTTCATGCGCCACAAGCGCACCACGATCTTGACCAACACCAAAGCCGCTTGCGTGGTGATGGCCGAGCACACCAAGATGATGACCGGTATGTACAGCATGTCATCGTCGAGGGCAGCGAGTCTCGCGACGAACAAATAGCACACGACGATATTTCTGTCCCAGGTCAGAGGTCAGAGGAAAACTTCCGCGGGCGACCAGGTCATGATGGGGGCGTTGGGAGTGTTGCGCCAGGAAGGCATGGCCTAGGAGACCGAGACGACGGACTACCCGTACTCCATGGACATGCGGGCGAAGCTTCGTCGCCGCAGCGGGAAGGTGCCCCGCATCCATTATCAAATGCAAAAATGTCTGGGTCTGGAAGGGTGCTGCAGCTTGTCATGCTAAATCTGGATCGTGAAAAAATTTGTGTTGCATAAGTGCCAAAAGCTGTCCACTTTTGACCAAGTTGGGAGTGAGTTTGTCGTGCAGGATAGGCATGACGCAGATCTCACAGAATCTGTCATGCTACATCCTGCATTCCAGACCCCATGCCTCATGTTGAACCTGCATGAGAAGTCTTCTAATCTTCCAGAACCAGACATATTTGCATTTGATATCCATCGCAGAATAGATATCACGCTGTGGCGCCGCGGACTGCCACTGGATTCCCTCTGCTCCTTGACGAGCTTGACTGGAAAGTTTGCGTGTACGTATCAACAAGAAAAATCCCCCCTCCCCATATCAAAACGGAAATCTGTCATGCAGATTCGTGGTCACAAATCAGCTTTGTCATGCTAGAAAGGAAAAGATCCGGACTGTAGTGCTAGTTGGCGTGGGAAAGCCTTGCTTCTTCAGCATGACAGGAGGCAGCTGGAAGTGTGAAACAGCATCACAAATGGCCTGCAAACGAGGCCACAGCCGCGGCTCTTGGCCTTCTAGCAATGCAAGTCGATTTGTGTACTCAAATACAGCATTACAAATGTTGTTTTTGATATGGGGAGGAGGGGTTTTTCCTTTTGATAGTACGGGGTCGAGGAACACTGCCCCGAGGTGACCTGCGACGCCCCAACAACCGTCAATCCCGCTGCGTGGCGATCGGTCATACGCCGAGGGAGTTGATATATATATTTCTTGTGGACACTGGCTCTCATATTGCGTTTCAGCCGGTGCTGCCCGAAAGTTCAAAACACGCCTGATGAAATTAACAGTTTGGCAGCTGTGCTTGCATGAGAGAACAACGCCTTGCCGTCTCGGCTTGCGCATTACAGGTCGCTCAAGATTTGAGCACCGTGGAAGGCGTAAGTTGTGAATTACATTCTGCTCCTAACTAATGGACTCGTCCCACATCAGTCACTAAATATACTCGTTTTCATCCTCCACAACCAACCCTGCCGCACGACTACCTCGTGGAGTCACCCGCCAAAGACTACCCAGCCGCGGACGTGTCTCACGGGTTCCGCCCGTTTCGAATATGCATTGCAAATATGACTGGGTCTGGATTTGTCATGCGAAATCTGAAGGACATACAAGATCTGTAATGCAGGAGTGTGACTGACCAATGTTTTTTTCGTGCTGGAAGTATGATCGAAAAATTTTTTGTCGTGCTCGAAGCCAAGATGTAATGCTAAATGCGAACGAATCCGAAAGAAGCTCAAGAAAACTTGGCATGCTGTTATGCCGTACAAGCGGCCACCGGCCCGGCACTGCGTGTATCAGTAACACAAATTTCCAGACACTGACATCTTTGTGTTGCATATCGAAAGGCGTGGTACAAACTGCATCTCGACCTGGGTGCCGTGGAGAAAAATCTGAATCCGGGGGGACGAGCTGCTGCTAAGGAGCAGGACGAACTAGGCGAAAATGCCGCTCGACGTAAAAAACCCGACGTGTACGACTACCACCTGGAATTCCAGGGCGTCTCGTGGACAAGCTCAGTGTGGGTGAACGGGTCCTCGCAAGTGCGGCACTGGTCTGCCTACACGCCGTTTCGCGTCCCGCTGACGCTGCCGGATACAGCTGCGAATGGAATCCACGGGAGTGGCTCCTCGTCGTCCGCGGACAGCAAGTTCGAGATCACGATCGCGGTCGATAGCACGCCGTCGTTTGCCCACAAAAACGATGTCGGCGAAGGGAGCTGGTGGTACGACGGGGGCGGCATCTACCGGCATGTACTGCTCCATCGAAGTAGCAGGACCAAGCCGCGCGTCGTCGATGTGTACCTGCCACACAAAGTGGTCACGGAGCGGATAGACCAGCACAAGCTGCCCCTGCGCGCGGACGTCGCACTGGACCCAGTCATCGAAGTGAGCCTCGGTGAGCGAGATACCGACGTAATATCTGGGAGACCCCTAAAATGGAAGTATGCTGACGCACTGACAGCTTCCGAAGACGACGCTGTTGGGAGCATGCCGGAGCATGCGGGGCCGACGGGCAGAACCACAACAACCGGAGCTGCTGCAAGTGGTAATACCGCTATCCCGACCTGGGCGGAAACGGTCGAGGGACCCGCGCTGCAAAAAGGTGCGGCCGAAGATGAAAAAGCACCTCTCAGTGCAGACGCTGCCATGAACGCAGGATGGAATGCTGCTGCAGTGTGGAGCGCTGCTGCGAGCGCAACTAGCCGCGCGTCTGGACCCGACCCGCGCGTGACCACGGAAACCAACCCGGGCAAAGGTGTTACCAATGAAAACACACGTCCGGCGACGCCGGCCTCCCAGCAAGAAGCGGAGGCGGCTGCGAGAAGTAATATCGCGTACATGACCGACCCGCGCGAGACTAACGAGGCCACCACGCTAAAAAGCGCTGCGGGAAGAAGAAATGCGCCTCACCCGACAGCGATCTCAGAGTGGCCGCAAGCTGTAATAGGCGAGGCATGGAACACTGTAACACCGGAGGCCGCTGCGAGCCGTAGCAACGCGCGCGAGACCAACAAGGCCATCCAGCTAAAAGGTGCCACTGCAGAAAATGCACCTCCCGCTACCGCGATCTCAGACCGATCGGAGACTGCAACGAGCACAGCACGGAACACAGCGGGGAGTGACGCTGCCCGAAATGCTGCTGGAAGCGGTAGCCCCGTGTCGCCGGCCGGCTATGACATAACACCTTCTTCCGCCCGAGGAAAAGATGCTACCATCGGGGGTGCGCCCCTAAGCAAGGCCACGTCAGGCCCGCCAAAAGCTGCAGCGGACGGAGCCGACAGTGCGGCCGAGAGGGCAACTTCGGTAGATCGGCGAGTCCGCGCGAGGGTGTCCGTGTACCGATACAAACCTGGTGCCGATAAGCCGGCGCGACCTCTCGTGGCCACGATGATCTCCGAGCCGTGCCACAGGAAAGGTGACGGTAGTACTCGTCTGAAGTGCCGAGGCCGCGCGCCGATCGTGCTGCAAAATGTGGAGCTGTGGGACGGTGTCAGGAACCCGGCGTTGCTATCACAAAAAAAGAATATTAAAGTCCCATCTTCGTGCGTGAAAAGCGAATTTGTATTTTTGGATGCGGTAGAACCGCCTGTGCTTCTCGTTGTAATTTCTGTATGCGCCGACTTTTGTTTTTCATGTAGCATGGGAAGGCCCTTCTCCGTGCCAAAATGATACTGCGCTATACTGTTACGTTTTCTGATATGGAACAGTTGCTCATCTCATTTTCATACCTGTACCTGTACCCCAGAGAAACTAAGCGGCCCGATACCAAAGAAGATAAATTTGTCATGCAGTTTTTCGTGTCAGAAAACGACATTATTGGCTGTCTAGCATGACAAATTTTTTGGAGACCTTTCTCGTCGTTAATTTAGCATGACAAACGAGTATTGTCGTTTTTGCGGATCAGCATCGAAGATGCTTTTGCGATGGAAAAGCAGCAACACAAGTTTATTTTTTTCTGGTATGGGGCTACTTTTTCGTAAAATATTCTAGTCGAGCTGCGGCTTATCCCACGAAAAAACTGTTCCACTGTGATAATTTTGCAAGAACCGCATCACAAGTTTGCTACACATGACACAGAAAATTTGGCATGTTCGTTTCCCAAGGGAAAACGCGCTTAAAAGCCCAATGTCTTTCAGGTGTAGTAGCAAGACAAATAGTTCTGCGCTCCATTTTCTGCATCACAAGTTCCCAGTGAAACAGTTTTTTCCTGCGATATGGCTGCTCGATGACCGCGGCGAATTCGTGGATGACCCTTGTATCCGACAGAAAAGCACACTGACAGTAGAGAAAATCGAATTTGTCATGCGGTTTTTCTTGTCCCAAAACAATTCTCGTTGGTTGTTTAGCATCACAACTTTTTTTGCATTTTTGTCATGCTGGTCCGCATTATTTCCTCCCTCTAGAATGACAGCAAACACCGTGTCTTGCGGATCAGCATGACAAAGCTTTATTTCGTGAACGAAAAATAGCAACGCAGGTTCTTTTTTCTTCTGGTATGGGTGTGCATTTCTCTAGGATATCACATCACGGACAAAAACCCACCTTCGATGTACGCAGAAGAAAACTTCTTGCGATGCGAAATTACAGCCGAAATCCACTATGTATGTAATTTGGTACAGTATGACACTTTTGCCAGTAGGCGTAGGGCAACTGAACCCTCAATCGCACAACTCTGTATGTAGTCTCTTACCCGCACCACCCCCTACCGCTGCTTGGCCAATGGCAAAAACTAGCTATACCGTTGTCGTTTCTGCCAATAAGAAAAGGACTCATGTGTTGTGCGACTTATGTAACTACTAAAACCGTTTTTACTGTCGGGAGGGGGGTGGTTTTCCTGCGGCTTGATAAGCCGGATGCAGCTTCTTCGACGATCCGGGTTGGCTTCCGCAGATTTGCCTGGGACGCCGGCATTAACCCACAAAAAAGCCCATTCATTTTTCCAGAATCCGAAAACATGTCTGCTGCGTTTTTAGTTTCACTGGGGCTGTTGCTCTCCGTATTCCATTGCAAAACATATTTTTTTCTGACCCCTATTAACGTCGACGCGTTCATGTACTTCCCCTAGTCAACCCCTATTGACGTCGACCCCTATTGACGTCGACGCACAACAAGCTGCGTTGTTCTGCATTGCATTCAAACTGAAGTCGTGTTTCGTGTGCGCCCAGCCGTCTTTTTAGTGTTTGTGCAAACCAGCAAAACAAAGAAACTCTGAATTTCATATGGGCACTTTTTTTCCAGCGATAGGCACTGGCTTCTATCTGAACGACCGCCCGATGCTATCGCAAGCGATGCGCGACCCTTCACATGGCAGAGAGGATTTGTCATGCACAACGCAACCTGAGTGGATCTACCTTTTATCGCGTTGGTTCATTAAATTCTCTATCTCGAGCTTATTCCGTAGTACTCGTCATCCGCCAGGCAAGGTGCAGCGCGCAAAAAAAGTTTAGATATCATAGTAAGTGCACACCGATGCCATTTTGCAGGTCGTCCAGCTGCAGCAAAATTGCATTACAAACGCAAGTCGGCACGATGAAGGGTGTCTTGTCCACGCGATACAGAAAAATCAAGGGCTTTGCAAACCACCAAGACTTCGCCGGGGTGGGTGTCGCGCTTTCGGATGATGTCCAGGAGTATCGCGTCTGGGCAATGAAGAATATGAAGCGGAAAAATATCGTATAGCCCTGTGTCGGGTTTCGGAATGTCGTGCGAGCCTTCTGTACTAACTGGCCCGCCACAAGCGGACAAAGAGGTGGCACAGCCATCGCGGGTATGAGTTTTCTGCGCAGCCCCCTAATGTATGAGTTTTCCGCACGACAGCCGCATGTGTGAGCTTTTCCTCTTTTATGGGCCTAGATTATTGCATGGCAAATTTCCCCGGGCGCCCGAAACTGCGCAGGAGGAGGGACTCGTGGTCAAATATTTTTACAACTACTAAATCCGAAACCCGCATGACAGATTGGCTTTTCGGTCTTTTCAGAGGATGCTGAACCTCCTGAACGCCAACGCCTGGCGGACGGCGCACAACTATCACACAAAATTGGTTCGCCCGTGCTCCTCAGAAAGCAAAGCGCTGGGCACATGATTTTCCTCAATATTCTGCAAGCCGATAATACTGCGCAAATGCGCGAGACACATGCAGGGGGCCCGCTGAGGCTGAGTAACGCACGTTTATTTCCGTGCCCGCCCGAGCCCGCTCTTGTAGAGAGGCTACAGCTGGAAACAAGGTCCACGTGTAGAAATAAGGACGCTCAAGAAATAAGGCCGCTCTTTGCTTTCTAAGGGTCGGCGGGAGAACTACTTTTCGTGGCCATATAAGCTCCGCAACCCCCGCTCTGCTGGATATCGCATTGAAAATTGTTTTCTTAGGCTGGGGCGGTTTGTAAACTGATAGTGCGTCCGCGTTATGGCTGCATTGCCTGTGACGGGGGTCATTTCGTTGTACACAGCGGCTCCCGCTTGAGAAAATATTTTTCATGCGGATTTACAATGCCTGCGACGAACTGGGACTGCTGGTATAAATAAGTTCGCGAGGCCCTTCTCTGCTTTGTCAACAAAAAATTGCACAGGGACTACAGTGCGCGGAGACGGATTTTCTTTATCACAAAAATGAAAGATCATGACCCATGCCGTAGTTGATGTTGATATGGACCTCCTTTGACGCTTGTTCACGGTCGCGCGATAAAGTATTCAAAGCATGACAGATTTTGACGGATTGACTCAACCAAAACTACAGGTTTGGGCGGAAAATCATCGGAACAAGCTGTCTCCAGACTCGTACAAGCTATCAATGGCAAATGTGGCTGGGTTTGGAAAAATGCAAAAGTTTGTAATGCAGGTATGGGAGCAGGCCTAGGCCTAGCACGACAGAGCCAAAAATCCTCGGCTTTAGCTACTCATGCATTCATGCATGATGACAGATTTTTGTGTGCCCGACCAGCCGCATCACAAATTTGAAGCTTCCCAGACCCAGACATCATATTTACACACCATACAAGCAGGACCTCGTCGATATGGTGAAACTGAACCGCAATCGTTATCATTCGAAAAAACAATAACGCAGCACCTTTGTCGGGCAGTTCTGCATGGCCAGAAAGTTTGTCATGCGTCCAAGCCCAAGAAGTAGTATTTTTCAACCAGGTCTTAGACTTTGTAATGCGTTAATCAGGACAAGACAGCCTCTTTGTGACGCAGCTGCACCTTTTAGTCGCGACCAGGCAATAGACCCAAATTTGTCATGCGTCTCTGCCAAGAGATCTTCTTGTTGATTTGTATAGCAGAGTAGTGTACATCTTGACTATTTTGTGGAAGACACGTTTTTCTAGATGATAATCGCGCCAGCGTCTTCATGTGGTCGGTGTGCAACGAGCGACTGTGCTGCCCGGAGCGGAGCCCATGCGACTTTGGCGATAAAGCTGTATCCAACAGAAAAAGAAAACCGATAGATCTGGTAGGTTTTTCACATAGATTCTCACGTTGCACTTCGAGCAAAACTACAAATTCCGCTTTGCATAGCCGCAGGCAATGCACTACTTTTTCATGATGCCAAATGCCTGTAGTTCGGCATAGGAATAAGAAACATAAATTACCGGGAAGATTTGTCATGCCTAACAGCCAAAATGAGATTTTTCTTGACCCTGATTTATTTACGTGAACACATGCTTTTTTTCTGTGGAATAACCAGTCGTGGACACCGCAAGAGACATCATCGCCCTCATCCGGAAGCTGGATCCGGGCTTCGGGGCGAGCAGGACGGGCGCAGGCACTGCCAGCCTCTCGGAACGCCGGATCTCCTCCGCGTGCAACACAAACGACCTGGAAAACGCACGGCCTTTTCTCGAGCTGATGGACGTGATCGGAATTAACTACCACCTCCACACCTACGACACAGTACGCAAACTCTTCCCGCGCCATCCGCTCATCGTGTCTATCAGAGGGAAAAATCCCCCCTCCCCATATCGAAACGAAGTTTCTGATGCTGGATTTGCGTACACAAATAAGGTCTGTCTTGCTGGAGAGTACTTCAGGCATACGCCAAGCCTGGGGCGAGCGGTTTAGTTTTGACGCAGGGGACAGCATGACAGGCGTCGGCTCTGTGAGCCCAACAGCATCACAAACCGCCGGCATAATGCGGCGGACTCTCTGGCTTTGCCTTCTTGCAAGACAGACAGGATTTGTGACCTCAAATCTGCATCGCAAAATTTCAGACGAATGCGCTTTCAATATGGGGAGGGGGGATTTTTCCTTTCAATAGTGTCCGAGGCAAGCTCAGACTACAGCACTCGCGGGGAATATCGCACGAAAAAAGTGTTTCAGTGTAAGGATTTTGCAAGGTTTGCATCAGAAGTTTGTTCTGCACCACAGAGAAAAGTTGCCATGCGAGATTCCTAAGGGAAAACACACCTAAAAATCCATTGTCTTGCATGTGTAGCAAGACAAATACTTGTCAGATACATTTTCTGCATTACAAGTTTACAGTGAAACAGTTTTTTCTTGCGATAGGGAATACTCGACGGACCAGAAAAAGCAGTATGTGTCCAGCTTCGACACCGAGTACCCGCCGTGGGGCAACACCGCGGAAGACAGCTGGTGTGCAGTGAAGGAGAAGCCCTTCGTCAGCGGCCAGTTTTACTGGACCGGCTTCGACTATCGCGGCGAGCCAACGCCGTTCTACAAATTCCCGAGCCTCACCTCGCACTTCGGCAATTTGGATCTTGCCGGATTTCCCAAGGACAACGCTATGTACCACCGTGCCCTTCTGGCCGAACCCTTCTCGGAGTCGGGCGACAAGCTCGTACATCTCGTCGCGGCGGATTGGTGGCACAAGACCTATGCAACGAAAAATTTACTGACAGATATACATTCACTAGGTTGCAGAGGACAAAGCTCTGCAGACAAACTTTGTCATGCCTGAAATGTCCAGAAGACAGGTTTCCTGGCTGTGTACTTTCTATTACCGAGTGGTCCACAGTGCAAATACATCCGGAAGACGAATTGGTGTTGCGAAACTTGCAAAAGTGCTGTTGCAAGTGTAATACTGATACATTTTTCCTGGGATAAAGCTGCGAGCGGGACTGCAAATAACACCACTGCGTTTATGGACAGAAAAAAAACCATGTCAGCTTGTCGCTTGAGTAGTTTGAAATTGAAATGCAACATGGATACAATATTTTTGTATGGTTCCGACAGGAGAGGGCCTTCTGCGTGATATGCATATTTTCTCATGCTATTTTGCATTCTTGTTTTAGCATTCAAACTGAATCTGTCTCTCGCGAACTGTTGATGACATTTCTTTGATTCCATATCGCCGTTCCCCGTTTGGGTGTACGCGAGTGAAAGTGCCGGGAAGGACGGAGTCAACCTGATCGGTAAGTACGCGAAGAGCACGAAAAACTTCGGCACCAAGAACCTTTCCGAGCCGTGTCGGCACGCCGAATGGACCCTGATGGCGGAAGACCTCCAAGGCCTCACCGCGCTTACCGCGGCCAGTGTCAGATACCCCAACATCACAGCCTCGATCGCGAAACCAGGACCCGCTGCGCGCTTGCAGCTCGACGTGGACTGGCCGATTGCAAGAAGGCGCCCGTCATCTATCATAAAGAAAAGCGCACCCATAAGCTTGCTTTGCTAGAGTAGTGAGACTAAAAGCTCTGTAGTGCAGGCAATGCTGTAGGAGCTGTTTTTTCGTAAAAAATGCAATGTGTAATGCGTGATAGATTTGAGATAGGTGGTCCTTGAGAATTTTATCTGGCTAGACCTACACTACAAAGCTTCTAGTGACACCAAAAACTACGCAAAATCATTCTTATGTGTGGCACGCGTGTGCTTTTCTTTGTGATAATACCACCGACCGCGAGTCGCCGTCTGCTGCCGCACGGTTTGGCCGGGCCGATTACGAAAAGCACGTTTCTGGTGCGCGTCGCAGCGTATGACGACGCCGGAATTCTGGTGCGCGACGAGAGCGCCTTGAAGGTCGACTTCGCCCTGCACTTCGCGCACAAAATAGCGACTTCGTCGAAGCTTCCTGCAAGAATTGTGGGGCTCGGGAGCGGGAATCCCACTTCGTTGGAGCAGGAAAAGTATACCCTGCAAAAGTATCGTACCCGTATAAATGCATTACAAATTTCCTCAGCATGAGAAATATAATTTGTAATGCGGATTGAGCCTAAGAGCAAGATTTGTAATGCATGAATGCAATTACTGCGAGTACGATACTTTTGCACAGGATGAAAAGCCGCTGAACGCCACCCACGGGTCTATCGAAAAAAAATGATTCTGCTATGAGTTTGTCATGCAGCTTTTGCAAGGCCAAGAAAAGAATCTGTGTGCTACCCTAACTTCAGTTACTCACCCGAAATCTGTCATGCGCCAAGGTGCTCAGTATACAGCACTTTTCACGACCCCACACCACAGCATGGTCACAAGCTCGAGCTATCGTTACTGTTTTGCAAAAATTGCATGACAATCGTCAAGCTGAAATTTTTCCATCATTCTTACGCGAATTCTGTTTCACGGGCTTGCCCGCATAGTGCTCGACGTGCAGGAAAGCGGCGAACTAGCGGATGGCGCTCCTGGACAACCATCTGTGCTTGTCGCTACTGCCCCCGGACTTGAGTCGGCGTCCCTCGCGCTGGTAACGCCGACAATCCCGGCAAGTAGGACCCGGGCCCACGCACACCTCCGCGATGAGCCCGTACAGGAGAAGCTCGGGCACTCGATGTCGACCTCAGATGCGGACGCGCAGGACGAGGAGGCGCTTTCCATCTATGCGTGAATCTGTCATGCAAAACTACAGCCGGCGCTACCTGCAACCGAGTCGCCGTGATCGAGAACTTGCTGATGCCCTATCAAATGTAAAAATGTCTGGGTCTGGAAGAATGCAACTTTTCATGCTAAATCTGAATCATGCATAAATCTGTGTTGCATGATTACCAAAAGTCGTCCAGCTTTGACCAAGTCGGGAGGGTGTTTCTCATGCAGGATAGGCATGAGAGAGATCGCACAGAATCTGTCATGCTAGGTCCTGCATTCCCGACCTCATGGGTCATGGAAAAGCTGCATGACAAATCGCGAATTCTTCCAGAACCAGACACTTTTACATTTGATATGCCCAAACTACTGCCAAATTTGTTCTAGCCCCGTGCGGGCAGCTAGAATCTCTTCCTGAAGAACTGCGCGCACAACATGAAAAGCGTCGAGTACGTGATGGGGCGTGTGGGAAGCCTGCTGCTGCACCACGGGACGCTACGGCTTTACGGTACTGGCAGAGGGCAGTTTTTTCTGGACAACCCTCTCCTGTGCACGCAGGAGGCTGGCGGGGCCGTCAGCTTGCCTAGCGATCAGTTCTGAAGCCGCGACGGACACCTCCACGGGCGAAAGGTAATACGGCATCAAGAATTCGCTCCTGCAACTTTGTGCACCGCCCTACTATTCCGTCGTCGGTCGTCCCTCTCTGTGTGAAGAACCTGCCGTGTGCTATGTGGAAGCACACCTGCGGATGAGGGGGACCTGGGTGCAACGTGTGCGCGGTTGCCCGCAAGTTTGCCTTTCGCGACCACGGCGTGGCGGCAAAATCGACCACAACTGTGTCTACGAACCGTACTTGACCCACTTCCGCTACATCAACGCGTTTATGAGTACCCGAGGAAACTCTGCTTCGAGCAGAGACGCAATTTCTCAAATTACTCATGCAGCGGACTACTGTCTAGTGTAACTATATCTGAAAAAAGAAGCTGTGAGAAAAAAGCAAGGGCGGCCGTAGCCACGACCTAGCAATGGCAAGCTGTTGCGCTTTCTAAACCTAACTCAAAGCATGCGGGCGTTCAGTGTCGCCTGCATTTGAAAAAGCCCGCCCTCGGCGCGCAAGGGGCTCGCGGCCAAAGTGCAAAATTGCCTATTAAAATGCAAAATCTGTTGTCGGCCCGGACGGGGGCGCGCCTAGTGCTGGCGCAGTTCAGCCTCCCCGGCGGCTTTGGTGGTGTAACTTGCCGGCCCCCTTTCACGTGGCGTTGTCGCTTGCCTGTTGCGCATGCGCTGCACAAAGCCCCCGAGCCATTTTTCTGGCGCGGCGGAAGTTTGCTCCGCAAACAAGTCCCCCAACCCGCTCGAAGCGGTAGGGCCGCGACACGAGAAAGTACACGACGATGGCAGGCACAAACAGCGCGCCCCGGCACTGCGTGATCCTGACAGCCCTGTAGCGTTGCCGTGGCTGCGATTGCGGCGCCGCGTGGTTCTGGGCCTTTCGGGGCCTTGTCCGAACTGCTCGGAAACCGACGCGCCCAAGGGGGTGGCCCCGGCGTAGGAATGGCCTCAAAATCACTGCCAGACGAGCACGCAGACCGACGAAAAGCAGAGGCGCAGGTAACTGGGCCGCAGGCCAAAATCGAAGCAAAGAAAAAGCTAAGATTCGCCGCAAGCAGCCGCGCCCGCCTCGTCCCCATGTTGTATTTTAGGCCCAAGGAGCGGCGCGGCAGGGTTTTCAGATTTGCGCCACAGCAAAAAAAAAAACGCTGCCCGGAAAGGGGCCCGCGTGCAGGCAATTGGGGAAGCCTACGCACGCGCCCCGCCTTGAAGGGCTCTACTGGGTCTTGCGGTCACGGCCTGGGCCTCCTGCTAGTGGTGGCTACGAATGCGCGATGCAGCCATATGAAAAAAATTGAAACCTCATCTGCCTTATTGTTGCGAGGTCAGTTCTACGGTCAGTCTCATGATATAGAGCTGCTAAGACCCAGCGTTGGCGTGGTCCTAAGTAATGCTGGCGTAAGGAAATTGGTCAGTTTACCGGCACTAAGCCTGAATTCCCAGCAGTGCAATTTCCGAAGCAAAGCAATATCATTCAAACACACATGCCCAACGTAGAAGACGGAAAGACCTCTAGGTTGTTGATTCGCATGTAAGTACGCCCGATTAAGTAGCCACGTATTGAAAACAAAATAATGGTCTGCGACTAGCCGGCCTGCCTTTCGCCGATGAAGGACTGCTAGTGGAACCGCCCAGCTACCATGGGCTCGTCACCGGAAGATGTCCTCCGAAGCGCGAAGATCCAGAGCTATGCCTGTCCCCGGAACCAGGTGTGTGCGCTGGTCGACGCAAGGGCCTTGGGCTATCTCGAGGGCTTCCTGCTATCTTGGAGAAAAAAACTAGCAGGACATATTTCCAATGCAAAAATACACGTATAAAAGAATCTGTCATGTACATCCTAAACTCGATGCCAGGCGCACGCCCATGAGAGAATTTTTTTTCCGCTTCAATAATTTTGCATTGCAAATGTGCTCTGCTAGCTTCTTTCTGTGGGATACCTGCAGGAGATTGCCCAGCGGAACCCGCGCAGCCCTGCTACCTATGCATTGCAAAATCGTGTGGGTCTGGAAGAGTGCAGGTTTGTCATGCTTGTCGCACATGACAGTTGAATCTGTAATGCGTAAGCAAGAAGAAAGCCTCTTGCCTGTCATGCAAAAGCGCAGTTTGCCATACGAAAGGCGAAACGCAAAAGAGCCCAAAAACTTGTCATGCGTGGCTGCGTATTGCAGTGCGCCCATAATTCAAAAACTAGCATCACAAGTTTCCAGACACCCAGGGATATTTGCAGTGCATACTACCAACGAGCCCGCAATCGTGGTTCCCCTCCGAATATCTTGAGAAATTGGTGTTACAGTTACGCACCCTGACGCAAGACCAGCAAGACAGACAACGTCTGTCATGCAAAAAATGCTTTCCACAAGCCTCACAACTTCATCGACGTTTTTCCCCTTATTGTCTGCGCATTACAATTTTTCTTTGCCATGCAGGGCAACTTTGTGATGCTGAAATTGCAACAAATGTGTCACTGTAGCACTTCTTTCGTGCGATACCGGACGTCTCCGGATGGTAACTGCCTGGTGAACGCCGTCTCCATTGCGGTGTCCGGGACGGAAGCGCACAGTGGCGTGCTGCGCGAAAAGATGGCAGCGGAGCTGACGGACAACGGAAACTGGTACCACAACAAGTTGGTCATCGCGCACGGAACCGCAGAGGCTGCGACGAAGGAGCTGGAGCAGGCGAAGCAGCAAGCGAGCTCCCCGCAAGCGTTTCTGGGCAGCCTGCACATGCTGGCGCTGGCCAACGTCTTGGAGCGGCCGGTGATTCTCGTCGCAAGCAGGGAAAACATGCGGACCCTCGTATCAAGATGGAAAATCCCCCGTCCCGATATTCAAAACGAAATTTGTGATGCTGGGTTTGTGTACACAAATAAACTGCGTCTTGCAGTAAGGACTGGAAGCAAGGTAGTTCTCAGCCTGTTTAGAAGCAGTAGGCCCTAGTTGTCTAGCATGACAAACGCCTACCCCCGTAGCCGAACAGCCTGAGAAATTGAATCCAGAATGCGGCGCACACTTCTGCGCCTACCTTCTTGCAATACCACGCCGATTTGTGGCCACAAATCTACATACAGAAACTGTATTTTTGAGTATGGGGAGTGGGGATTTTTCCTCGGAGTACCGCGGCGTCGGCTACCACGGATATGAAGTGCAAATATGTCCGGGTCTAGAGGGTTCCGAACTTGTCATGCTAGGTCTGGATCATGCAAAAATCTGTGTTGCATGATAACCAAATGTTGTCTACGACGTTTGAACAGGTTGAGAGGGAATTTCTCATGCAGTATGGACATAGTTGTAGACATCTCGAAAATAATACGTCATGCTAGTCCTGCCGTCCAGATCTCGCGGGTCATGGAAAATCAGTACTTATCAGCATGACAACTCTTGCAATCTTCCAGAAGAACCCAGACATATTTGTACTGCATAACGGACTCGCCGGAACGTTTCTCCCCGTGCGGGTACTCGAGGGCTTTATCAAACGGAAAAATCCCCCCTCCCCATATCGAAATGGAAATCTGTGATGCAGGATTTGAGGTACCAAATCGACTTGTCATGCTAGAAGGCCAAGAGCCGCAGTCGTGGTCTCGTTTGCAGGCAATTTGTCATGCTGTTTCCCACTCTCAGCTGCCTCCTATCATGCTGAAGATGCAAGGCTCCCCCACGCCACCCAGCACTCAGTCCGCATCTTTTCCCGTGTAGCATGACAAAGCTGATTTGTGACAACAAATCTGCATCACAGATTTCAGTTTTGATATGGGGAGGGGGGATTTTTCCTTTTGATAGGCTTGCAGGCCGAACAAGAGGATCCGGCGGCCAAATCCCTGCTGGCGCAGAAGCGACCCGTGGTTCTCGCCTGGGGCAGCGAAGCGCGGGACCATTTCGTGCCGCTCATGGGCGTCGGAACGGAAATATCCGTCGGCTTCCCGGTTCCAGCACCGCTCGCAAACGAGGGTGAGCTGCCCGACCCCTTCTCCCCGCCCCAGGTGCCGCAGGCGTGGATCGACTACCTCTGCCGAAGCTGCGGCGAGCAGGTGTACTGTGGTTGCTGGGAGGCCTATCAACAGGAAAAATGCCCCCTCCCCATATCGAAAACGAAATTTGTGATGCTGTATTTGAGTACATCAGAAATCGACCTGTATTGCAAGAAGGCCAAGAGACGCAGCTGTGGCCTAAATTGGAGGCAATCTGTCATGCTGTTTCCCACTTCCAGTTGCCTCCTTTCATGTTGATGATGCAAGGCGTTCTACGCCAGCCAGCACTACAGTCCGCATCTTATGCCTTCTAGCATGACAAAGCTGATTTGTGGCCACAAACCTGCATCACAGATATCCGTTTTGATATGGGGAGGGGGGATTTTTCTTCTTGATAAGGCCGCTTCCTTCACCGCCCCGCCACCGTCCATAAATCCGGAGTCAAAGCTGTTTCATCCGCACCAAGCTGCAGCTGCATCGCTCGGAACCTCTGTCGAGCCACCGCGCACACTGGAAACGGCGGTTGACGTGCTGTTGCTGCTCAAGCACGCCCACAGCGAGAATGCAGAATACGTCACGCTGCTCGAGACGCTGAGCAAGATGGTGAAAAACCTCGCTGACTTTCCGGCGGAGGCGAAGTATCGCAAAATCAACCTGGAAAACGCCGCGTTCCAGAAGCGGTGTGGGCGGTTTATCGGGAGTGTGGAACTCTTTCTCGCGCTCGGATTCCAGTATGACGACCAAGCAACGTCCCTTGCGTCACTCACGCTGCCGAAAGAGCGCGAGAACGGAGAGCTCAATCGGCGAGTGGCGGGAACTATCAAATGCAAAAATGTCTGGGTCTGGAAGGATGTAACTTGTGATGCTGCATTTGGATTCTACAAAAATCTGTATTGCGTGAACAGCAAAAGAGGCCCAGATTTTGCGACGGCGAGAGGGCATTTGTCATGCGGTATAGGCATCAGGAAGCCATCACAAAATCTGTGATGCTGGGGCATGCATCACAGACATCAGGAGTCATGCGAAATGCATGACAAACCTTGCATCCTTCCTGACGCAGACATTTTTACACTTGATAGGAACCCTCGGATCCATGCTGGCGCAGTACGGCAAAGACATCATGAAGACGACCCAAAACTGATGCAGTGTGCTATCAAATGCAGATATGTTGTCGGGATCTGGTGGATAATAACATGCGACTTGTCATGCTGAGTATTGCATGACAGTGAGATCATGTTTTGAATATTGCATGACGACGCGAACGATGCTTTGCACAGCTCCGATTGCGATTTCAACTGTGTTTTGCATGACAAAGTCTCTCACAGCACGACAAAAAGCGTGGTCGCTCCTGTTCATGCACCACAGATCTATTCTTGCCCATGATCAATTCGCGCATGACAAATCCAGATCCAGGCATATTTGCAACGCATATGTGCCCGCCGCCACCTCGAATTCTGGAAGGATCGATTGTCCTCGTTAAAAACCAGATGAAAGACTCTCAAATCAATCGAAACCCAGCTCACTTGAGCAGGAAAACAGGAAACAAACCATTGAAACCCGATATAGCAGTTGTTTTGCATCGTAGCAACCTAAACCAGAACCGTAAACATTGAAAATAAAACTCGTGTTGCGTAACCGAAGCTCCCGTTCTTCTAGAAAAAAGAATCGCACTTAGAGGCTTGCAAAAAGGCTTAAATTGAAGAAAGCCTAGTACTCTTTTCATCGTCCAGGAGTGTTCGTGTTTTGCCACGCAGCACAGAACAATTGCTGGCGTTTTCTTGTGCCTGTCATGATGTACACAGCGGACAATTTGCGTGTTTGATGAATCGAGCGAAAGATCATCCCGAAGAACAGCAGGCCGCCCATATGCTGAGTAAAAATGTCCCCACCCCAAAGTTGTCATGCAGATCTGCATGCCAAAAAAGTTTTTCGGCATCCAGCTTTTGCGCAAAAGGGCTACGCGAATCCTAGGGGCGGTAATTACACTCCAGGGGATTGACGAACAGCGGGCAGCAACACAGGGCCAGATTGCAAGCGCAATAGGGCTGGGCCAACACCTTGCGGCGAAGGTCATGGCGAGTCAGAGAGAGATGGCTGGGGAAGAGTTGAGGTGGCTGGTAGTCATGTTCTACCTCTCAGGCCTCTTGTATCTCCTCCCGCTGATGCAGGTGATATTGCAGCCATCAGAGTGGGCAGATCTACTGATGGACATGGCTACAGCAATAGCAGAAGCGCTGGGCTTTTCCAAGAGAGCGTGGGCTGAGATGACTGCGAGGGCTCAGCTGCAGCCGCAGTGCTTTTATAGAGTAATTTTCTCGGAGAATTGCTTGGCATTGCTTGATCCGTTCATCATGAGCATCAAATTGCTAAGGAGTGCGTGCCAGTCCAGTATCTTGACAGATATGGAATTCCTTCTCCCTCGAGCAGTCTACCCAGTTAAGGTCTTGGGCTCTGGCGAGCATGGGGTGAGGCACGGCGACAAAGAAGACCTGAAGGAGCAAGCTCAGGCTGATACTGCCCTTGTGCAGGCCCTAGTCGATGGGGCGGCTACAAGAATATCGCACCGGAGCGATCTTAGAGTTGCGGGCTTTGTCAAGGATCGAACTTTGGGGCGAGGCAGGATGCCACCGGGGCTGCCCGTTTACGAGGTCCGGGCGTCCTCGGATTTGTCAGCGACAATTTGCGTCGAGAGAAGCACAGGAAATGTGTTCGCGCAATGCAAAACGAAGCTGGAACATCTGAAGGTAGAAGCTCGCCGACAAGAGCGGAGATTTCTGGCTTATGTCAGCAACGCGCTCACGTTACTGCAACTTGTCACGCAACACAGCCACGGGGTTCGGAAAGTAGGTGTAGAGCTCTCTGACTTCAAGAGGCTGCAGGCGAATACCCGCGGCCCACTCAGGCAGGGTCACGGCATAGTGCTAAGCCTGGTAGAAGCACTAGAAGGAGCGCAGGCCCTGGGATACGAAGTTCGCAGAGAAGTACTCCCGAACCACCAAAAGGACTTCAAGCCAGTTGATGCATCACTCCCGGGGCATACAGTTCCACTGCAAATAGTCAACGTCGCGCAGCATGACAACTGCTACACCACGTGGCCTGTCTATGAGTTCGGCGCGGATACGTATAAGCTCCCCCCTGTCCGCGATTGGCCGAAGATGAACCGCACGAAACGCACTTTGTATCTGGGTGAGTGCCTAGGGTTGTCGCAAGGGCAGGAAGCAAAACAGCAAGAAGGAAGCGCTGAAGTGCCGAGCGCTCCCTCGCAAGATGAGGGCAAAGGAGGGGAAGTCGCGAACCATGCAGGTTCGGACAAACAAGGCCCGGGCCCGGGTGCGGACAGCCAGACAAGCCTGAAGGAAGGTCACGAGTCCGCAGCTGCTGACCCATTGCGCAAGTTTCACACGGAGGCAGACTGTCTTGCGTTATCTCGTGTCATCGGGAAGGAATTGGGGAAATCAAAGAAGCACTACGCTGCAGCCCATGCGCCGACTCAGGGGACCCGTGGCGGGGGTGAGGCGCCGGATGCTCCTCAGATGGAAAACGCGGCTTCCTCTTCCTCATCTATAGAGCACAAGAGGTGCGACCAGCTTACGAGAAGTGAGCGCAAAAGGTTTCAGGTGAGGGGCCCAGCGGGCACAGGGGACAGCTCGAACGAGCTGGCACGAGGGAGCGGCAACGCAAGTGCTGACAGAGACCAGGAAAAGGGTGGGAGCACTAGCAGCGAGGCGCAGGCCGCTAAGGCGACGCCTTCTCTCGCAAAGGAGTGCAGCACGGGGCAGCTGCCAGTGCAACTGAAAGGGCAGAACAACACAAGGGAGGCGGCTAGGGTCGAGCAGAAGCAGGCATCTGTAAACGCATCGGCAAAGCATGCTAAACCTTTTGGCGGGCCCTTAGGGGTAGAGGTGGGTAAGTTCCAGAGACTACTAGATGTTGTCCATCTGATGGAGCCAGCCAGCAGCGGGGACCACCAAGAAACGAAGGGGGACAGGTTGGAGCGCGAACAACTTTCGCCCAGGAGCTGGGGCGAGATGTTGCGAAGAGTTACAGGCAAGAAGAAGGAGGAATTGCGAGTAGAGTACATACTCGGCGTCTAGCTGTGTCAGTGCCTGCGCTACACAGGCGCAGCATTTTGAACCACTGAAACGCTACACACTCAGACACAAAAGCTATGCCAAACCACTCAGACTTTTCTTTTCTTCGTGAGCAGTCACGTCAAAAACTCAGACTTTTCTTTTCTTTACAGACCGTAACGCAAGAACGAAAAAAGAGCAGAAGTGTAATACTTACTAGAGGGCACTCCAGCCCCTGCCCGTTGCTACATAAGCAGTTGGGTTCGACTCAGCAGCGAGGCCGCATTTGTGTGCGGCGGATGATTCAGTGCCAGCTGGTCTTCGCGTGTTCTGCAACAGAAGCTAAGTGGTGGGTATGAGATGGAACGACGAATCATGCACAGTAATCGGGTATGAAGGGGATTGCCGGTCACCCTTAAGTGGTAAGTTCCGAGACGATTCCGGTTTATGATCCCGGTCCCCCCTCCCACCCTTTGCTTCTGTTGCAGAATGAGTCAAGCTGAGTCACTACGGCTGCCACGCACAAATTAAGCCTTTAAGTTGTCGCTGTGCCCCAGGTGGGTTGCCAGTCAGCAGTGCCAGACAACTGGTCAATGGTTTGACAACTGTGGCCCGCTCGCTTGCCTTTTTCGTCCGTGCCGCAGGTAAGGCGCAAACGGTCCAGCCTCCCCTGTCTGGGCGGGGCTGCGGCTTAGGGGAGAGTCTCGCCCCTTCACCCAAAGGGGTACGTCGTCTCTTCCGTGAGAACAAAAACGTAGGGCGTAAAATGGGTCGGGTCCTGGATCATTCTGTATGTTGGGCTGTCGCGCTCGGCTTGCTGGCCGGGCTGTACCGATCAGGTGTGGTGGGTAGCTCCCGACTGGTTGGCACCTTTCTTGGGGCGACTTGCCGTGGTAGCGCTCGGCTTTTGTATGATGAGGTCGCCGAAAGTGCTTCCTCGCCCACCCCCCGGGGAGGGGATTCTTGACCTGTGGCGCTGGGAGCGGGTGTCCACTACATGATGATGATGATGCGGACTCCCACGAAAGCCATTTTCCATTCGTTTTTTGGAATTTGTAATGCTAGAATCAGCATACTGTGCGAGATCTGTGATGCTTCTGAACTAGCTAAACAGGATTACACTACGCGGACAAATTTGTCATGCCAAACAACCAAAGCTGGCTGATTTGTCTAGCAGATTTCCCATCTTGACTCTGGTGTGGGGACGTTTTTACTCAGAATAGCCCACAGCAAAGTATGTGTGTGGCTGCGCCGCAGAGCGCCGCACCTACAATCAATGCAAGATGAAGCGGCGTTATCAAAAGGAAAAATCCCCCCTCCCCATATCAAAACGAAGTTTCTGATGCAGGATTTGCGTACACAAATCAGATTTGTCTTGCTGGAGAGGAATACAGGCCCATACTCAGCCCAAGTAGAGAGATTTTGTACTAGGCGTCTAGAATGAGGAACGTCCATGCTGTAGGCCCATTAGCATCACAAATCACCTGCACAATGCTGCGGAGCTTGTGGAGTTGCCCTCTTTCAAGACCGACGTGATTTGTGGTCTCAAATCAGCAATACAAATTTGGAAAAATACCTTTTTGATATGGGGAGAAGGGATTTTTCCTCTTAATAAGCGTCGTCGCGTCACATGTCGTCGCGGGCGGCGGCCCGGTGCTACGCAAGCCGACTAAGGGGTCCGGTAGGCTGGGCGCCAGTTCTCGTATCAATATGAAGAAGTGGCTCACCCCTAGAAATTGCAAGAGGTTTCCATGATGCACTAATTTCTCATGCTTAGAAAACTAATGAAACATATCACAGTCTGCGTATGCAAAAGCTATATCATGCAGAGGTGTGCCAGATGGAATCAAATTTTCTCGTGTAAGTAAAAATACTTGCAATGCCGGAAACGCATCTTTCTTCTAGGGTAGAGGCACTTTTTCACGTGGAAAGTATCCCGCGTAACAGTACCGTTCGCGTTGTTGTTGCCTCGTCCACCCTATCAAATGCAAATATGTCTGGGTCTGGAAATCTGTGATGTTGAATTGAGCGTGATTAAACTTGAAGCGCTTGCAGTGGCAGCCAGGCATTACAAGTTTTGGAGACGCCTGCTGATGCCTACTTACCACACATCGCAAACTGCGTTTTTGCATGACAAAACAAGCTGCTTGCGGCCGAAGCTGCTTGCGGCGACGGTGCAAAGGTTTTTTATGTGGTGCAGTCGGGTATGCATGACAAAACAAGCTCCTCTTTTGCTGCTCATGCAACACAGCTTTTCCAGGAATGCAAAACACGCATCACAAGTTCCACTTTTCCAGACCCAGACATTTTTGCATTTGATACACCCGGAGTACCAATCGTGGAAAATGCGGGGCATCGGGAGCAGCATGACGAGTATGCTGCGCTATCCAAGAAAAAAACGTTTTTAGTGTAAAGTTGTGATGCGCAGCATGCAAGATGATTGCGTCTCTCATGCTTGGCATGCCTCGTAGGGTCCATTAAAGGGCGTTTTCACGTACTATCTGCGCATGCCAGGTTTTTACTATCATGCCAGACAAATTTGTAATGCTGTTCCTCCAAAAAAGTTACACCTACAATGCTTTTTTCTTGGATATGCGCTGGCGCAACTCCAGCGCGACGCCCCTGCAGGCCCAACTGAAGGAGGCGCTAAACAACAATAACTGGGGCTGTAGCATATTGTGAGGAAAATGAATCCGCGAGAACCGTATTCGATTTGGCATTTGTGTTGCTGGATTTTTAATACCTGTCCTCCGTCCGCTGAATCAGCATGAGAGAAAAAATCTTAATCTGAATATGGAAACGAGGTGGATTTTTCCTTGTGATATGGCAACACGATTCTCTACGACATCGCCAACCAAAGCAACTATTATCCAGCGTAAAAAAACTGTATCCTAAAACTACCTGAGTTGTCATGCATATAATGCAGCAGGAGTCTTTCTATGCGGCTTTTCCGCCCAGAGATACAACTCTCGTCCAAGTGTGCTGCAGACGATTTTGTTATGCAACATGCTCTCGTCACAAGAAGCAAAAGATGGGGCTGTACTAGGGAATAAGCAGTGCGTGTGCGCTGTGTATCCAAAGTTGCCCTTTGTGAGTCCAAAAACCTCTGCACAATCAGTCCAGCACATCAAGCCGCATCTTGAATCGGGGTTGTTCTTGGAAAAATTTTTACGTAGGGGTCCGGCGAAAATCCTCCTCTGCACGATATGCGGGCGTTCCTTGGCCAAAAGACTGCCGGGCATCGTTTGCATTTCCAGCTGGAAAATGCTGAGGGACCCGGAAGGAGGGTTTGCAAATGTCCTCCTCCGCACCGTATGGGGGCTTTCCTGGGCCCAAAAACTGGGCGACGTTTGGATTTGAGGGGGGAAATGCTTAGCGACTCGGAAGGGGGGTTGCAAAAATGCTCCCCGGCAAGGTATGCGGCCCCTTTTTGGCCCAAAAAGTGGCCGGCCTTTCGTCTCCAGCTGCAAAGGGTTGGGCACTCGGAAGGGGAGGTTGCGAAAATCGTCCCCCGCACGTTCTGCGGGCTTCAGGCGGTTTGTACTGCTTTCCGAAACCTTTTGTGTCAAGGTCGAGTGCCCGATCATGAGGCCCGCCCGATGTTATGGTCAGCAATAACCGGCTGTCCATATTGGCCTGCAAGGCGAAACGCTCACCGGGTGAGCGTTTCGCCTAAGAAGTCCATATTGGGATCTTTCCCACCACAGCACACCGTCGTGCTTCTGGCTGTTTGTGCTGCCTTTTGAAACCTTTTTTTGCCAAGTTCGAGCGCCCTTTCGTGAGGCCCGCCCGACGCTATGATCGACACAAGCCGATTATCCATATGGACCCTCAAGGCGAAACGCTCACTCGGTGAGCGTTTCGCCTAAGAAGTCTATATTGGGATCTTTCCCACTACAGCATACCGTCGTGCTTCTGGCTTGTTGTTGCTGCTTTTTGAAACCTATTCTGCCACTTTCGAGCGCCCTTTCTTGGGGCCCGCCCGACGCTATGGTCGACACAGGCCGACTATCTATATGGGCCTCCAAGGCGAAACGCTCACCGGGTGAGCGTTTCGCCTAAGAAGTCTATATTCGGATCGTTCCCACTGCAGCATGCCGTCGTGCTTCTGGATATTTGTGCTGCTTTTTGAAACCTATTCTGCCAAGTTCGAGTGCCCTTTCGTGAGGCCCGCCCGACGCTATGGTCGACACAGGCCGATTATCTATATGGGCCTCCAAGGCGAAACGCTCACCGGGTGAGCGTTTCGCCTAAGAAGTCTATATTGGGATCTTTCCCACTGCAGCATACCGTCGTGCTTCTGGGTATTTGTGCTGCTTTTTGAAACTTTTTTTTGCCAAGTTCGAGTGCTCTTTCTTGAGGCCCGCCCGATGCTAAGGGCGACACAGGCCGATTATTCATATGGGCCTCCAAGCCGCATCTTGACTCTGGGTTGTTCTTGGAAACATTTTTACGCAGGATAACCACCAGCTGCAGCCGATCTTGGAGGCTATCAACCAGGTATTTAGGGGAGAGTGCATAGACAAAATGATGATCCTGTCAAGTGCATTCTATGGGACGAGCTGCAAGACAAATTATTGACTTCATTTTTCTGTAACGCATGGACAGTAGCTCCGAACTTGTGTTTCTACTGCATAAAGATGTCAAGAGCAAGAAATTTGTATTGCATGAACACGGGTTGTTCCCACCTTCATATTATTCCCACCTCCTCATCATCAAAAACTCGTTTTCTCAGGCGTTGGCCGAGCGTGACGGACGACGATGGAGGCGTGTGTGGAAGGCGCTGAACTTATCACAGGAAGAAAGTCCTTCTCCTCCGTGGTATACTAAATGCAAAACGGAAAAAATCTTTGTCGTGCTGATTTGTCATCTTCAGAAGCCCCACTTTGCGGGCGGCCCACTTGGCATCGGTCATTTAACGTGCCATTCTGGGATTCGTAGCCTTCTCCTGTCGTGGAGAGCTGGCAAATAGGTACTAACCCCTTCGTCCCATGGCATCATGACAAAATGATTTGTGTACACAAATTTCGCAGCAGAAGTTTCCGTTTGGGTAGTGGGGGGAGGATTTTTCATTTTGACAAAACTTGATCGAAATCATCTTGAAGCACGGCGAAAATCCGATGTTCGAGGAGAGCATGAAGGCAGACCAGTATCCTGTGTAAAAACGCCCCTACCCCAGAGTTGTCATGCAAAATGGCATCCCTGAAATGTTTCTTATGCACGACGCCATGTTGAGGAGCATTTTGTAATGCTATCTGGAAGTTTGTCATGCTGAAATGAGGACAAGGTAGCCAATTTGTCGTGCGGTTGCACTAGCTAAACACGTTTACACTACGATGCCAAACTTGTCATGCGTGACTGCCAGAATTTCTGGACTTGTGTTGCAAATTTCCCATCTTGACTTTGTCGTGGGGACGTTTCTACGCAGGATAACCAGTGGCGAGTAATCTACTTTCTCGACTGGCGCTTACGGAAATGAAAATCCCTTCTCTCCTATCAAATGTAAAAATGTCTGGGTCTGGATGAAGATTGCAACTTGTGATGCTGTCTCTGCATTATACAAAAATGTGTATTGCATGACCAGCAAGAGGGCTCCAGTTTGTGCTACATGGAGAGGGTATTTCTCATGCGGGATAGGCATCAGAAAGCCCGCTAAAAATCTGTGATGCCAGGTTACGCATTACAGGCGTCATGTGTCATGTAAAATCTGCATGACATCCAGACCCAGACATTTTTACATTTGATATCTCCAAATTCAAAACACGAAGGATTTCTCTTGCTGGACTTGTATATAGCAATCAGCTTTGTGGTCGAGCGCCCGGGGATACTCAGCAAACCCGGTCGCCTCGGTCTGTTTAGGTGCATTGGGCAGTGCAGCTGTTGAGCCCCCTTAACCGGCTCGGTGTCTCCTAGTACTTTCCTTCTGTCATGCAAGAGAAATAAGCTACTTGTTTTATACGCATTTTTTACAAACCAACACATCTAAACAAATTTCCACTCAGAACAATATGGGGGGGGAGATTTTTTTTTCCTGCCACAGCGCTACCAGGAGAACCAGAAGGACGTCACTGCGGGGATCCGTGACAAGGCCAAAAAGATTATCCCTGTGTAAAAATGTTGTGGCCCTAGATTTGTCATGCATATTTCCACGCCGCTGCCCAGGACGCTTCTCATGCTCAGCTGCATGAGAAGCGTTGTGTTCTCGTGGTGTTGTGGAAAAATTTGTCATGCCTTATACAGGACGAATTGGTGAATTTGTGATGCGACTAGCATAGCCATTCTTGTTACTCAGGATAAAGATCCAGCAGTTGTTGCAGGACCCGGACCTGCTGCGAAAGGAGCGGGCGGATGCGCGACAGATCGCGAACAAGCTGCAGCTATGCATTGCAAATATCGATCTGGGTCCGGAATAAAGGTGGAACTTGTAATGCTGCTCCTACATGCGTGCGAAATCTGTATTGCATGACCAACAAATTATGTCGTAGCCTGTTTCATCTAATCCGGACTGCGTACGAGAACGCGTTCTGGAAACTTGTCATGCTTGTCTACATTCGGAAGTGTTTTCATCATGCACAGTTCAGCATCACAAATCTCCAGACCCACAAATATTTGCAGTTGATAGCAGCCGCCCTCGATGTCAGGCGGCGGTGGCGGCGGGATGCCGCAAAGCGGCTTGGCTGCAGGCCCCGGGCCATATCGCAAGAAAAAACTGTTTCACTGTGAACTTGTGATGCATACAATGGAACACAGAAGTATTTGTCTTGCCACACATGCAAGAAAGTGGATTTTTAGCTGTGTTTTCCCTTAGGAAGCTTGCGTGGCAAATTTTTTCTGTCACGTAGAACGAACTTGTCATGCAAAACCTGCAAAATCATCACAGTGAAACAGTTTTTTCGTACGATAGGCCAGGCTACGGAAATAATGCAGGTTCGAGCTACAACGACGGCTATGGCAACAGTGCGTCGGTGTCGTACGGCTACGGCCCGACGACCACGGGAAGTGGCCTCTACGGCACCACGCAAGAACCGATGTCAGGAGGGAGACCAGTGGACCGACCAGACTACAGCTTTCGGGCTTACGACCGCGATTTTTTGGGCGCCGGCCGTCCGGAAACCACGACGTTTCAGTCTTCCTACGCCGCCTCTGGTGCGCCGCCGTCGCTCCAGGTACCACCACCTAGTTCGGCGTCCCGAGCATTGCGACGCGACGTTCCGGAACCAAATCCAGCAGAGCCGAGTACTTCTAGCGCGGGTAATTGTCTATGTCTACAAAACATATGCAAAAATTCAGCGGTGTGCGTTTTTGTCATGTGTGTCTTGTGTCAGGTGTATGTAGTTTGATAAATGTACTAGTCTTTGTCACTACGTCGCTGAAAGAGAGTAAAAATGACACGCATGATTGATAAAAATTTTCAGATTCGCGAAGACGGGTTGTCCAGGTTTGCGGGTGTACAGAAACGGAAGCGGATTATCATGTGAGAAATATCATAGTTGCTGGCTTGCATTTTGATGTTGTGCATGCAATTTTGAATTACAAGTCTTCGCCTTCGCGAGGAAAAGATTTTAATTTCTCATGCAGTTCTACTCCGTCACCAATTTGTTTCTTCAATCTATAGGAAAGAACAAACCTTTTGTGCTTGCTATTTTTTGTGCAGCATTTTACAAGCGTCTTTGATGACAAAATGTACTGTCGCACGCTGGCTTCTTTCTCCGCTATCCCAGCCGATTGCTGCGCGCGGCAGACGGAAACGTGGAGGACGCGTGCAACAAATTTTTTGCCCAGGCCAACAACGAGCCCGAGCTCGAGGCGCCACGAAGTGCCCAGGACCAGCGGGATTCGGGGCCAGCCTCTTCCGACGAAGACGAGGAATTGGACGAGATGCCGAGCGGTAACGACTCGTCAGAGCCGGACCATAGTCCGGAGGTCGGTCCGCGTCATTACGCACAGCGAAAATGTCTGGGTCTGCGAAAAATGGAGTTTGTCATGCTATGTTTCGATCACGCAAAATGTTGTATTGCATGAGCAGGGGCAAAAAATCTGTGAAACTAGAGCATACTAGCTTGACGAAAATCGCGGGTCATCATGTAAAATCTGCATGACAAACTCCTCCAATTTTCCAGACGCAGACATATTTGCACTGCATTGTGGTCTCCAACCCCAGATGTCAGGACAAGTAATGCCACCGCAGCATACCAATGCTTCGCAACCAGCGACGTGGGACCAGCAACAGCGGGCACAGCAAGCGGCCAATATGCATTGCAAATACAGCTAGGTCTGGAAATAGACTGCGGATTTGTGTCATGTAGCTCTTGGACCACAAAAATGGAAAAAGCAACACGGGTCTTGCAACGACTTCTCCAAGCCTTTTTGCGTAGCAACAAGTAGGCAGCTTTTGGCGGTCTTGCAACACAGATTTTTGTGTGCGCGTCCCGAGCAAGCATCGCAAATTCGCTTCTTGCCTGACCCAGAGATGTTTGCAATGAATAGGCAGCGTCCGGCAGCAGCCGCAGGTACCGATGGAGCAGCGGCATATGAAATGCAAATATGTCTGGGTCTGGGAGTTTCTAAACTTGTGATGCTGTGTCTGGATTCCAAGAAAATTTGTATTGCATGACCAGCAAGAGGACTCCAGTTTGTGCTACGCGGACGAGAGGACATTTCTCATGCGGTGCTGGCATCACAAAGCCCTCGCAAAATCTGTGATGCTAGAGGATCCATCACAGACATCACGGGTCATTCAAAATATGCATGACAAACCTGGCAATCTTCGAGACCCAGACATGTTTGCATTTGATACGGCAGCAGCCAGCGCAACAGGGGGCGAGCCGCCAGTTTTCCCAGCCGTCAGGGTCGCAGCAGTACGGTACCGCGCTGGATGCACAAACTGGTATCAAATGTAAAAATGTCTGGTTCTGGAAGGATGCAACTTGTAATGCTATTTTTGGATTCTAAAAAAATCTGTGTTGCATGACAGGCAATAGGAGTCCAGTCTTTGCCACGTGGAGAGGGCATTTCTCATGCAGGATATGCATCAAGACGCACTCAGAAAATCTGTGATGCTAGGGCATAGATCACAGCCGTCATGGGTCATGTCAGACGTGCATGACAAACAAGGTCATGGCGCGGGGACAGAGTCCCCGCGGCTGCGACCTTGCGGCTAAGAAGGGCCACCCGCGGTGGCTTTTCTTGCCCATTATGCGGCAGGTTTTTTTTTTGCGACAACACGGGGTGGCTTGGCGCTCGTGGTGCCGGCGCCCCCCTGGAACAGTGCGCCTTTTTCTGCGCCCCTGGGCGGGGCGCCCCCCCCCAAAGGACTACCCACGACCAACCGAGGGCGCGGCCGTCCGGGAGGTTGTTCTCCCGAACCAGGGCGCGCGGGCCTGTTTCTGCGCCCCTGGGCGGGGCGCCCCCCCCAAAGGACTACCCAAGACCAACCGAGGGCGCGGCCAGCCATACCAGGGCGCGTGGACCTGTTTCTGCGCCCCTGGGCGGGGCGCCCCCCCCCCAAAGGACTACCCACGACCAACCGAGGGCGCGGCCGTCCTGGAGGCTGTTCTCCCGAACCAGGGCGCGCGGGCCTGTTTCTGCGCCCCTGGGCGGGGCGCCCCCCCCAAAGGACTACCCAAGACCAACCGAGGGCGCGGCCTTACCAGGGCTCGTGGACCTGTTTCTGCGCCCCTGGGCGGGGCGCCCCCCCCAAAGGACTACCCACGACCAACCGAGGGCGCGGCCCTCCTGGAGCCTGTTCTCCCGAACCAGGGTGGGCGCGCGGACCTGTTTCTGCGCCCCTGGGCGGGGCGCCCCCCCCAAAGGACTACCCACGACCAACCGAGGGCGCGGCCTTCCTGGAGCCTGTTCTCCCGAACCAGGGTGGGCGCGCGGACCTGTTTCTGCGCCCCTGGGCGGGGCGCCCCCCCCAAAGGACTACCCACCCACGACCATGCGAGGGGGGGCGCGGCCACCTTCCTGGAGCCTGTTTTCCCGAACCAGGGCGCACAGAACTGTTTCTGCGCCCCTGGGCGGGGCGCCCCCCCAACAGGACTACCCACGACCAAGTGAGGGGGGGCGCGGCCTTCCTGGGGGCTGTTAGTTCGCTTCGCACTCCCGAATCAGGCCGCGCGGACCTGTTTCTGCGCCCCTGGGCGGGGTGCCCCCCCCAATGAATAGGCAGCCAACCTTTGGCCGCCGGGGTCGGGCCTGACTCTTGAAAAGTGGCCCCCGGGGCCGGGTGTTCCTTTTCCGAAGTCAGGCGGGGGGCATATTTTGGGTTGTGCAGGAGGTTTTTCTTTTTGCCGGTTCGGGTCGTGTTTGATACCCCGGAACAGGGGTCGGAACATACTCCGCAACACACCCCAGAACACACCCCGAAACACACCTCAGACCATGCCCCGAAAGCCACTCTCCGAAAGTCAGGTCCGGGGTCGGACCCGACTCCCTAAAAGTGACCTCCGGGGCCGGGTGTCACTTTTCCGGAGTCAGGTGTGGGGTATGTTTTGGGGGGTGCAGGACGTTTCTGCCGATTCAGGTCGTGATTGATACCCCGGAACATGGGTCGGAACATACCCCCGAACACCCCCCGAAAACTCATTTTTGGGCAGTTGCTGCAGTTCAAATAGTAATCTTCCAATCTTCCAGACCCACACGCTTTTACACTTGATAACTGGTACGTATAGCGGATTCTCGCAGTCGCAGCAGCAAGCTCAGAGTCGTGCACCCTACAGCCAGTACGGGCAGAATTTGGGTACTACCAATCCGCTGGCACAGAATCTCTCCATCGGCGGCTCGCAGGTTATCAAAATGAAAAGCGCAGCCCCGTCTCCGGACTCGTTTCAAATGTTTGCGCTGCAAAGTTTTCAAGTGGGCGGGCTTTGTCGTGTATGCTCGGAATAAAATTCCAGTTGCTACAATATGCAAGGCTTCCGGAATATTATCATTTAGGAAAATTTGCAATGCAAATGTGTCCACGTGCTTCGGTCGCGAGGGCAGTTTTTATTCTGATACAGGTGCAGCAAAATCAGCTGCCATACAACTCGACGCAATCGGCCACACTACACCCCTCTGGTATGCAAGTACCCATGGGCCAATCGGGTCCGCAACAAGGCACTGGTATCGACTGCAAATATGTCTCGGTCTGGGTAAGAGCACGCGAACTTGTCATGCTGGGTATATAGCATGACAAAGCAATGTTTTATAGAGCATGAACGCATCACAAATCTTTCGGCTGTTGTTGCAAGGTGAGTCGTGTTTTGCATGACAAACTCCCTCTTCGAGCATGACAGAAAAAATGGTCACTCCTATTCAGGCATCACAAATCTTCTTATGCTTCAATTTTCGCATAACATATCCAGACCCAGACATATTTGCAATGCAGGACTGGATTCGCACGACAATCGCCACCGACGTTGGTGCAGCACCAGACCTTTATGCATTACAAAAATGTCGAGCTAGTACAACTTGCATGAAAATATCTTTGGAAAGAAAATTGCAATCTGTGATGCAAATTTCGCTCGGGAAAGCAGATCTGTCATGCATAGCTGCAATTTATACGGAGGCTCCGATACTCTTGTACGGCATAACCTTGCCACAGCAACCAAACGTCGGCTCGCAAGTTTTCGGCGGACAAAACGTCCCAACACCGCAGCAGCAGTTCCTGATGCAGCTCCCGGCGGGTTCGCAACTGGCCCACCAGCATGTTCCGCAAACGTCCGCAAATTACCTTGGGCACGACCCAACTGCCAGGCAGCAGCAGGTGCTGTTAAACTCGACACCGGCCGCCCAAAGTTCTGTGCAACAGAAAATGTCGGGGGGAACTACAGTGCTGATACCCAGTAGCGCGCAACAATTTGCTCCTATCGCAGGTAGCGGGCCGCAAGTTCCTCTGCAAGCCATCATGCAGACCACGCCACCGCTCCAGCAAGCACAGACGATGGAGTCGCAGGCGATGCCGACGCAGCCGATGCAGCTGCGCGTACTACCCCAGACAGTGCCATCCATGGAATCGGTATCGACACGAAACGTGGTGCTGCAACGGCAGGTGCTAGTACCCGCACAGCCGCAACAGCAAACGCTGTTGCAGCAGCAGCCGGGCGACGCGACAACGATGGCGCAGCCGGCAGTGCGGGTCGGGCAGCACCTACAACCCGCGATGCCAACATTGCAGTACAGACCCGTCCTTTTACCGCAGCAGCTTGTGGCCTCCCAAATAATGCAACCACAAGCGTTGCAGCAGCGAGCCATCCTAGCCCCGCAGCAGATGGTACCATATTCTTCAGAAAAGTACACCCAACATGATACCAGGGAAAAAAAATGAGCCTAGTCATGCTTCCTTCTGTGTCACAAAAATATTCTGTAGCATGTTCATGACAAACCTAGTGGGCATCTTTTTCATGCTGGAGCACATCACATCATTCATCACGCATGACAGGAGCTTACCGCAGTTGTAGATCAGCAGCACAAATTTTTTCGTGCGAGAAAAAAAACAGCAACACAAATTGATTTTTCCCGGTTGTAGTGTGGGTGTAGTTTTCTGAAGGATGTACCTGTACGACCACAAATGGTCATGGCGCCGCAGCAAGTAGCGATCCAAAACCCGCAGCGGCAATCGTTTGTCCCGCCTGCAGGTCTACCAATGAACTCGCAGCTGCAAAGCAGACCACCCATGGCACAGTACGGACAGGCAGCAGGAGGTGTACAAGCGAACCTCGGCGTTGCTGCAAGCCCGAGAGGAGTACTTCGCCCAGCCGCGGGAGAGGGAAACCAGATCAGCACGCCTCGGGAACCGGGCGGCCGGGGGGTATTTGAGTCGTTGCAATGTCTGCTTGTGATGCATATGATACTTTACTCACCGCATGAATGTCCTGTCCCGTTCCTGTATGTGCTTTCGTGCATGACAAAGAACTTCCAAATTTGCATACCATGCATGCTTCCGAATCATGCATTACAAAGTTAAAGTTATTGATTTTACAAATCAGCATTACAACTACATTCCAGGCAGCGACCAACCCCTTCGCTAAGTACGACGTGCGGCGTTTTTTGAATGGTATCCCGGGTAAAAGTGTCGCCAGCCCGTATCTGTCATGCAAATTTGCATGCCGAAAATGCAGTTCCTCATGCGCAGCTACATGAGCTGCAACTTCTAATTGTGTTTTGGAATTTGTCATGCCAGAATAAGCAGGAGAAGATCGGTTTGTGATGCGACTGAGCTAGCTAAATACGATTACGCTGCGAGCCCCACCTTGTCATGCGCAACAGCCAAAACTTGTTCATTTGTGTAGCAAATTCCCAATCCTGACTACGGGGTGGAGACGCTTTTACACAGGATGAACGGCACCCCATAGTCAAGGAGGTGCACAGGACCGTGTTTTTTTCAAGTACATCACAGCAGCTTTGCGGAAAGCCAAGTTCTTTCCCGTTTGGCCTGCGAGTGCATCAGGGACTCGTTGTTTTCACCAGTCTTTACCGTTTCGAAAAATTTAGACAGGAATCTTCGAAAAAAATCAAGCAATATAATTCCAATGTTATGACAATGAAGGAGGTACAACTTGGGCAAAAAAATTATCATCTGCAAAAAGATACAGTAGTTGCTCTATGCTACACATGTGGTTACAACATGGCAGGGGATTTTGATGTCAGAAGCAGGTAGTTTATTTGCTGTACAATTCGTGACCCGAAAGAAGTCACGTCTGTCCTGCTAGCGTTTTCGTGCCTTTACAAATTCGGCTTCATCTCAAGAACGACCAGCGGAAATAAAAATCCAGCGGGAGAACGCGCGCCCTGAATCATGTCTCCCGCGAGGACACATATTTTTCTAGATTTCAAAAGGTACGGCAGATATCTTGTGCTTACCATGTTCTTCTTGCTTTCCCCTCGGAATGCTGGTATCCGACGTTGAAAAAAAGCTTTCTCTTCCTTCAAAACGTTCCTTTTTCGCGTTACCACCTTGTTTTTGTGGGCAATAGTGTAAATCGTTTTGGTTTTTATGATCAGAAAACCACTGTACAAGATGGCTCCCTTTTCGCACGGCCTGCGCATGGCGCGTACATTTCTAATGCGGCTTTGCTGCTTATGCAAATTCGCCATCGCCGATTTTGACTTCGAAAGCCTGTTTGGCAACGTGGGACTTGAATCGTGGGATAAATATGCAGCCAGCGACGCGAATGGCGACGACGCGAATGATCTCGCGGAAAAGTTGGAAGAATTCTCCAATGGTAGCTACGAGTACGAGACCGTGAGATTAAGCTGGGACGGCATTTTGTTAGTCGACTGGAAAACACTCGCACACACAAGAAACGCACGCCGGCCCCACTTGCCTCGCTCGTTCTAGTGGTTCAATTTTCCCAATTCGAGCAAGCAAGCGACGCAGGGTCGCGTGCTCCGTTCGCATTCTGTTTTGAGATGCACGAAGAAGAATCAGCGCACTCTGCCCATGAGTTCCACGAACGGCGCGCGGCGTGGCGTGGGCTCGTGAAATTTCTGGGACGAATCTCAGCCACAGTGATGGCGGCAATATTAGTTCTCAGCCCCAGGAGGCTCAGTCGTGTGGGCCATATCCAAAAAGGGTCGCTCGAAACCTAATTTAGCTTCTGCCGCTCGGGCTTGCAGAAGGAAATAGGATAAGCGACAGCAGCGCCCTGCGGTTTTGCACCTAGTAAAATGCCGGGAAACTGGCGGGGCCTTTTCTGTAAGATCTAAGACACGGCGGACCGTTTTGTCGGTCTTGCACTTTAAAACAGGCCACGTTGGCTTTCAGCCCCATCGCCTCCGCTATCCCGGTAACCCTAGCGAGGCCGCACTGACTTGGGAGAACACCACCGGGGGAATAGAATAAGAAAATAGCTATCGGCCAACATTCCGGTCCGCTGGGTTTTTCGTCGGGTTGTGGTATTTCAGGGGGGGAAAATCAGGCGCCGACTGGGGCTGTCGTGTTGCGTGTGTGCGAAGTCGCTTTCCATAGCCGCCAGATGCCGGGCGACGTACCGAATAGGGAACAGTTAGGCGACTACGACTTTGACGGCGACGGGGCTTTTGGGCTCTCAGAGATGAAGATCATGCACGACCTGAAGCTCGGCGACGCCAACGGAGTTGGTGAAGGCGTGGCGAAGCTCCTGTGCCCCAGCGATTGTGACGTGTCGAAGTACGACCTGGACGAGAACAACCACTATTCGCACACTGAGCTGAAGTTTCTTGCGAGGTCAATAAAAGACCAGGGCGGTGAGCTCCCAGACTGGAAGGGGTTTGTTGGACTTTGAACACACCTGCCACACTGAGTGCCTGAAGCTTCTAGCTGGCGAGATGCCTCGCAATCCCCCAGCGCTTTAACCCCTCAGCAGACAGGGCGAAAGCCTCGGGCTGCGTTGCATCCATCCCGTGGCGCCTCAGCGTTCAAGGCGCACCACCGCCATCATGCCATCAAGCTGGGCTCTGGAGGTACCTCAGACCCGCCATTCAGGTCTCGAGCCATTTCCGACCTCCCTCCACGTCGTCGCTGATGGATTTGATTCGGGACCGAGGTCCTGGGTAGAGGTTTTACTCAGGGCGGCGGCTCTGGATAAAGTACCTGCTCAGGATCTGTATACCCTGAAAGCAAGGACCCAGAGTGGGGCAGCCCACTCCGCGACGGCTACAGATGGGAAGGTAGACCCAGATGACCGCCTGCCCATTCTGGGAAAGGTTTTTATTCAGGGCGGCGGTCCTGGATAAAGTTTGCACCCAGGGCGGCAGTCCTGCGGCTCAGGTCGCGAACAGGATCTGAACCCGTCTTCAATTCATCTGTCATTATTTGCATTTGTGGAACAGAGGACGGCTCGGGACCTCATAGAAGCTTCAGGCCTGCGTGGGGGGAGGGTTTCGATCGCATGACCGAAAAACTTTGACAAAGACGCGGCCAAGGTTGTGTATCCCGACCAGCTAACCAAAATCGACAGCGGCAAAGACTTTATAGACATCTTCGACACCGATACCGACGGCTGGTATTCCTTCCACGAGTTGAAGGCGATGCAACAATTTCCTAAGCACGGTCCGCAGCACCTGAAAGAGTACTACGACATGGACGGCGACGGGGAACTTAGTCACTACGAAGTCAGGCTCGCAATGAGCAGGGCCGCGCATGTAACGGTCGGCGCCATCTACAACGAGCAGGGCGGCGACGTTCATGCGGAACAACGTTCCGACTTGGAGCTGTTTACGAAGATTTCATCCTCGGGTGAAGACCACAAACTCGAACCAGAAGAGGCACGACTGGCGCTTTGGCACGAAGGTGAGAAATATGATCGGGCCGAGTACAACCATGAGCAGAACGAGCAGCTCGCTGAGCACGTAAAAGCGGGAGGACACAACTTAGCCTACCACGACATCATGAGTGACACGAATCACGGCCACCACAACCTCGCCCATGCAAAGTGGCAAAAAGTACACGACGTACTGCAAATAAACGGCTACCTGTCGGAGAAGGCGTTCGAGCTGCGGGACCTGGATGGCGACAAGAAGATTAGCAGCAACGAGCTCAATATGATCGTGAGAAAAAACTGTCTCAGTCTCAACTTGTAATGCGCAACTTGTTCCTTCAGACAGTTTTTTGTCGTGCTCGACATGCAATCAAAGGAAACTCCGTACGTGTTTTCTCTTGCATGTAAACAGTCACAGATTTTGCGTGTGATGCTAAGGAAATTTGTGTATCTGAAACTGCAAAGGTCTGAGACAGAGAACGTGTTTTCGTACGATACCCAAAGTCGCCGGCTTGCTGGGAAACGATCTACAAACGAAAGGCAAGATAGCCGTCGACAAAGCAAAGGTTTTGCTCCAGAGCATGAGCGCGACGAGCGACAACCCTTTGAAGCAGTGTACGGACGAAACAGGGTTCTGCGACTTCAACGGCGACGGATCTTTGACGGCTGAAGAAATCAAGCTTGCGAAACTCTGGGACGACAGTCCGCCCACTGCAAAAGTGAGTACGATTCTGGGAGATATCTTCCCCGACGCCACGGATTCGGAGATCAAAGGAGCTGACTTTGACGGTGACGGTGTATGGAATGTAAACAGGTCTGGGTCTGGAAAGGAGCTGTGATGCTGAATGGTCAGGATTGAGTCCGCCTTTAAATGCAGTGAAGCATGACAAATTATTTATAGAACGCTTTCTCATGCGTGGTGCGCATTACAAACTGCGACAGTGTTGCATCCGTGAGGTACTTCTGTTGCTTATGCAATACCAATTTTTCTGGAATGCGGGACACGCAATACCAGATTTTGCACATTTCCAGACCCAGACGTATTTGCAGCGCATACGGTATCCTGTTGAACAACGTACCCCCTCTACACTTGCCACACAGATTTGCTTGTCCCGCACAATTCTCATGCCGCTACCCACGGAAGCCGTTTTCCCCATGGGAGCCGTTTTCTGGTGGTGTTTGGAAATTTGTCTTGCGTTGTGATCAGGATCAGAACGTCGGATTGTGATGCGGATGAACTAACTAGACACGACAGTCTTGCATGGCCAAGCTCGTCATACGTGAGCGCCAAAACCTGTCGATGTTTGTGATGTCCAGCCGATTTACAATCTTAACAAGGGGGGCCCGGACGTGTGTTTTCACAGGATGAACGGGCACCTGTCACAGAAAGAAATCGCGCTCCTGACTTTTGTATCAAAAAGACAAGCGCCCCACCACAGGATGTGGAACACATATATACACCCGACCTATAGACCATAACATAGTAGCCTGCGTCACAAATCGTTTTTTTCCACCCGTTATTCTGTCTTTTTCCTTTTCTCAATGTAATTCATTTTTTGTACGTTCTCTGTGCTGTATAGTTGTCTTGTCTCCAGAACACATACTCCGGGGTGTGGGAACGCCCAGGGACACTTCGCCGGGGAACATTTCCCACATTGTATGCATCAGCATGACAAATTTTTAGCCCAGAGCAGCGACACTCTACGTTGCACGATATCTGTCATGTCCTGGCGCGTTAGAGTCTGAACGAAAATGCGTCGCGTTCCCTCGATGCTACACAAAATCAATACAAACTGGCCGGTCGTCTGGTGGTGGGGCACTCTTTTCATTTTCATACTTTGAGCAGCAAGACCCTGACGATTTTGACCCGGACTCAGCAGCCAATAAGAAGTATCTTGACTAAAAATGTCCCAACCGCAGAGTTGCCATGCGGATTCTCAGTTGCAGGAAGATTTGTAATGCGCATCCCCACGTTGGGAATTCTTTGGCGTGATTTTTGATGTTGTAATAACACGATAGGCCGACGGCTCTGCGATCCACGGCTGTGCTTGCTAGCTTGCACTACACTACAGAGGAAAAATTGTCATGCGTAACTCCCAAAACTTGATGGGTTGCGTAAACCACGTACCCATCTTGACTCTCGGGTGAGGACGTTTTTAGACGGGATAAAGAGTTGCTCCCAGCTATCCTCGGTAGCGATCATCGCTTGGACTCTTACAAAATGCTGGATGGCGATGACAAGAAGCTCAGTCTGGAGGAGCTGCGGCTCGCTGTAAAACATCCGGAGACGAAGGATCTGCTGACGGCGCAGGATCTTCACACGGTTGCCGACGCGATGTTTCCATCCGTTATCAAACTGAAAAGTGCCGGCCCCCAGAAAATACCGCGCGACGATTTTGTCTTGTGACGTTTCTCCATGAGGCTTTTTCGTCTTGCACAGAGATAATGCGAGTCGGCATACCATGACAGACGATAGTGCCTGTACTCTGCCTCTGTGCAAGGCAGAAGAACTTCGCTATTCTGGGTTGAAAACTAGAGTTGCTGCTACACAGATGGGTGTAAATATGTTTCTACAGAGTGAAGAACAGTGTTTGTATTGCAAAAGAACCAGAAGTTGCGCAATACAAACACTTTCCCGGTCTGTGGCGGGTGGAGCAATTTTCAGTTTGATAATAAGGTCCGATAACGCACACATGCTCGACTTTAATGGAGACGGAAAACTCGAGAACAGTGAATTGCTATCCAAAAAGAACATAAAAAGTGCATTGTTGGTGTACCTCTGTCTTGCAGAATCTATGCATCTTACGGCCAGGCTACTTGCAGATAAGTAAATGGCTGCACGTACCAGAGATGCATGGTAATTTTTTTGTATACATGCAGCTCTAATTTGTCGTGGTGCCGTCCCAAAAAGGTGTGCCCAAATGTGGAGGTTCTTTTCTTGGATAATTACTGGCGGCTGGGCAATTGGGGGCGCTGGTGAACACCAACGGTAAAGCGGTTATCCAAGGAAAAAAGGGTTACAGTATACACATTTGTCGGAGTTTCTGCATGACAAAGAAAACCTGTGATGCGCAGACTATAAGGGAAAACACGATTGAAATGAGGCTGGCAAGCGTTTTCTGCATGACAAATGTTACCTGTCTTGCTTGTTTCGCAACACAGTGCGTAACTGTAACACTTTTTTCTTCGCATACCGGTAGACCTCGAGTTATTGCAGGACCAGCTGGACGCGCTTCCGTCGGGTTTGCGGTATTGCAAGGAAAACGCCCACCTCCCCATTTTGAAAACGTATCTTCTGAAAATTTGTGATGCGGATTTCGACCACAAACCCTGTCTGTCTTGCGAGAAGGCAAATCCAGGCTCTCTGCTACGCTATGCAGGCGATTTGTAATGCTGTAAGGACTACAGGACAGCCGTCTACCATGCTAGGCGCCTACACCAAAGGGCCCCTATCTCGGCTGGCGATCTGCGTGCAGTCCTCTACTGCAAGACAAATCTGATTCGTGTACGCAAATCCAGCATCACAGATTTCCTTTTCGATATAGGGAGGGGGGATTTTTCCTTTTGATTTGCGGCAAACTGCGCTGACGGGAATATCCTGCGACGGCGACCAAAACTTCGACCTGTGGGAGCTCGAGCTTTACGTAAAGGCGGGCGGATTGACGACGGAAAAGGTGCACGATTCGGCAATCCGTGGCATCTTGGATCAGGCCAGCGCTACAACCATCTCCAAAGAAGAGTTCGACAAAATCAACTTTGTAACCACGGGCCCGAAAGAAATCACCGCAGAGCTTCCGATGGAGTGGCCCGACTTTATCGTGAAGAAAAATCTCCCCCGCTTTATTGCTCTGAAAGGAAATTATCTCTCATGCTGGAATTCTGTACGCAGGTCAGTATTGCATTGCTAGAAGGCAAGAAGGAGATTCACCCTTGGCCGTTTTGGCAGGCAATTTGTAATGCTATTCCGGGCAATGTAGTGCCCGCCTGCCAAGCGGAATACGCAACGCGTTTCCGTGCCAGACAGCAATACAGTTCGAACCTCCCCTCATCTCCCAGCACCACGGCAACTTGGTTTATTGCGATCACAAATCGTGCTTTCTACGAATTTCGTTTCAGTGTGGGCTGGGGACGACAGGTTTTTTCGCTTCGACACACTTCCTATCAACTGTAAAAATGTCTGGGTCTGGAAGATTCTGACACTTGTCATGCACGTTTTGCACTAGCCATGATGTCTGTAATGCATACCCTAGCAATACAGATTTTTTGAGGGCTTCTTGATGCGTATTCCGCATGACAAATGCCTTCTCAGCGTAGCAAAAATTGCATTCCCTTTTCTACTCATGCAATACAGATTTTTTTGGAGGCCAAACGCAGCATCACAAGTTCTATTCTTTCCAGACCCAGACATTTTTGCATTTGATACTTCCTGCGGAAACTCGACTCGGGGACGGGAAACGATGATATCAAATGCAAATATGTCTGGGTCTGGAAGATTACAGACTTGGCATGCGCATTTTGCATGATCCATGATGTCTGTGACGCATGCCGTAGGATCGCAGATTCTGTGAGGGCTTATTGATACCTATACCGCATGAGAAATGCCCTTCCGCATGGCAAAAACGGAACTCCTCTTGCTCCCCACACTAAGCAGATTTTTGTAGAATCCAAAGGCAGCAGCATCACAAGTTGCAACCTTCCAGACCCAGACATATTTGCACTCGATAGATGACGGCAAGGTGCAACTGTCGGAGCTCCAAGACTACCTGGTGGACTTGAACGGCGTTCCCCAGCCTGGCATGTCGCTGGGCTCCGTAGCAAACGCGATCCCGTATACGCCGGCTTCGCCTCTGGCTTTAGTTGGCCTGGCGGCGGGCGGCGGGGCTGCTTTCAGCAGAGTATTTTCAAGTAAACCGAGCCGGAAGCCGATCCCACTCTCGCCGAAAGCGCGGAGGGAGCGCGCGGCGCAACAAGCGGAGGCCGAGGCCACAGAAAGCGACGATGTTGGCAATGATGCTGGTACAACTCCAGCAGGAGACGCCCTCCAGTACCGATACGGCCATCTGCCGCCACCAACAGTAGTCGGACCAGCGCCCGCACCCTGGGTACCGCCGAGACCCGTGCCCTACGTCAAGCCCCCCGTGCCGGTGAAACAGACCCCCGCTCCGTCCCCCGAGAACCATCGAAAAGGCGGTCGCAGCCGGTCGATATTCAATATCCTGGGTAAAAACGTTCCCACCTTAGGGTCAAGAGGGGGATTTGGCTACACAAACCAACGAGCCTTGTGTGTTGCGCATGACAAGTTCCGGCCCGTGGTGCACCACCCGTGTTTAGCTAGTGCAGCTGCATGAGAAATGCATCAGCTCAAGCTCCTTCTACTGTGACAAAGGCTAACCCCAAAAAACCCCTACAACATGCCTGTCATGCCGCTCCACATGAGACACGTTACCGTTGCAGTTGTACAGATTTGCATTCTACCTTCCCTGCGTGACAGCCATCTGCGGCCGTTTGCAAAGGGGGAGGCAAAGTGTGCCGCACTTCTGTTTAGCATGACAACTCTAGGGTGGGGACGTTTTTACTCACGATATATAAGGAAGGGACGGACATCCACACTGGAAATAGGTTGATAGCCTGCTCAGATGTTACAGTAACAGTCTTCAATGCTACAATAAAGTCTTAGTTTTGTCCTGCATGATCACCAGCATGAGTACTAACATGCAGAGACTTGCGCTTTTCGCAATACAAATTTCGTCGAATGCTGCTTCGGTTCGGCGTTCCAGACGTTGTCATGCGCCTTTCTGTGATGGCGGACCAGAGCACGCAGTTTTTGCATCACAAATTGCAGGGAATTGTATGGATGTACTTTTCTCGTGGGTAGCGAACAACTCAGCACAGACGGCACAGAAGCAGAAGAGACGATCAGCCACGAGAGAGACGCTCGCGGGCAGCGAGCAACTCAGCACCGGAGAAGAAGAGACGGCGCAGACGTAGCGGGAATACCAAGTTTAGCTTCCTCGAGGACGGAGCCGTGGAACCAGCCCGGGTATTCCAGGAACCCACCCTCGCGTCCCGTGCGCCGTTCGGCGAAGAGGCACGGCATGGGGACCACGGCACGGAACACGCCGTTTCCACCGCTGGCAACGAACCTAGGGAGGGCGCCGACGCGAACGGGCTCAACGTCTATCCAGTGCAAATTTTAGTGGATCTGGAAAAATGGTACGTGGATTGCTTGTCTTGTATTCCCGTATTAAATCTGTGTTGCATGATGACTAAGAAAAGCGCCGCGGCCGTTTGTGTCATATGAAAATACAGTTTGTAATGCGCACTATGCATGAAAAAACACTTGAAATATTCGTCATGCCTGGCTTCACTAGGAAGGCTATTCAATTATGCCCACGCAGAATCACCAGTTTCCAGACCCAGACATATTTGCAAGGCATACCGCCGCAGACGAGCAGACGGAGGACGGCAGTACGGTGGAAGGAAGTACGGCGGATGGGAGTACGGTGGAACCGGACGGGCCCAACGATGGCGCAGACGAGCAGCCGGTGGAGGGAGGTACGGTGGAGCCGGACGGGCGTAATGACGGCGCAGACGAGCAGCCGGTGGAGGGAGGTACGGTGGAACCGGACGGGCGTAATGACGGCGCAGACGAGCAGCCGGTGGAGGGCGGTACGGTGGAACCGGACGGACGCATCGACAGCGCTGGCGAGCAGACGGTGGAAGGAAGTACGGTGGAACCGGACGACGGCCCAAGCGAGCAGACGGTGGAAGGAAGTACGTTGGAGCCGGACGGGCCCCGCGACGGTGCAAACGAGCGAGCGGTGGAAGGAACTTCGGTGGAGCCGGAACGCAGCAATCTGCGTGGCGGGCTAGCGCAGGGAGCGAGGAAACGAAACGACCACGTGCGGCAAACGGAGCCATCAGTGGGTGGACTGCAGCTGGTGAGCATCCCGTGGAGCAACGCGTACTACGAGTGGTTAGTGGTTGGTGTGCTCTTGCTACCGTTCCTCTACTGGCTCCGGGCTGTGTGGTGGCGGCGCCGGCAGTAGCGGTGTAAGAGTCTCTACGGGGGAAAGTAGTGATTCTGGATTTATTGATCCGGAGTTCTGTTGAATATTCTTTGACATCTATTTTTTTTGCTACAGTACACATTATAACAAGGATTGAGCGACTCCATCAATCAGGAGTAAAGGGAAAAAAAGTTCAGATAATCTTACTGTTACTCATCTCAGCGTGCACAAGTATTTACAAAAAAAAGTTGCAGATTTTATAGGCCCGGCAAACGATAAAAGCGAAAGTGGGCATGTATTTTTTAATCGCTGTGCCGGCCAAAGTGCCACACGGTAAGTATTTCAATGCGATCTAACTAATGATTTCCTTGCCGTTTTTCAGAACAAATAAGTTTGACGAAGAATTTTGTTGCAATAATTTGATTTTTCCCTACCAAAGACGACCAAACATTGAACTTTCGACGCCGTAGAAAATATAATTCCGTCGTACGGATTCGGATACATACGGAAACGAAGTGTCTATCCTATTCAAGAGATGAGTCCGCGCCACCTCCTAACCTACTGAAGAGGAACAACATGGTAACAACATAAATGTTGTTTGTCATGCTGTGATGAGCTGCTGATAAATTTGAGACAGTTGTTGCTTTCGCTAGCATGGCAGACTTCCAGTGTACAAAATCCTACCGGGGTTTTCGATAGAGGAACGTGCTGCAAGTCAGCAACCACGATGCGCCGGCGTTCTGATGCGAGCCCCGATAGCTTCTGCCGGAGCTCCTTCGGGATTTTTGTCGCGGGCTGGGGGGCTGCAACAAAGCTACCCTTTGTCTCATGTAGTAGTCATCTAGTCGAGCAAAATTGTAACGCCTTTTTATCTAAAATGGCAAAGCAACCGCTGGTCAGGAGACCTTTAAAAACCAATTTTTACAACTAGAAACCAGCAAAAAGGATAGCGAAAAGAAAGAAGCATAGGCGGAAATTCGTCTACAGCACGGCTCGACGACGCTCTGCATTTAGTTATAATCCGACCTGGCGAAATACACTTTTCACAAAACTTCATTCTTTAATTTTTTCCTTGTGTTGGAAGCATTTTCTCAGCATAAAGTAGAACGCGTAGCCGGCGCTTCGCAACAGCGATTGACCCGTTGGTGAAATATAGTGCTCTCCGACGGGTTTGCGCTTTAATTACCTGAGCGATTTTGCTCGTGTAGATTTACAGGTATAAAATATAGGACGATTGACTGATCGGGAAAAAATAAGCATTAAGACGCGAAAGTCGCGCATAACCAAAAGCTGCACCCTGCCTCCACCTTTTTGTGCTCTGACCCAGTTTACATCTGCCTAATTTTTAACATGATGCTCTGCCCACCCGTGTAGCTGACCACCTTTTTTTTTTGAAGCTGCTTATTTCTAGCTGAAACCAAGCGGCTCACTTACTTCTGATAAACGAATAAACGATTCTTTATGATCCTGGTTTTTTTCTTTCTTTAGCACAACAGACTTGGGCTGAAGATGTCCACCTGCTAGAAATTGCTAGTGAAGCTGCAACCTTTTAGTTTTACTATTGGTAAATGCGTCGCCTGGTATCTTTAACGAGTGAAGAACAGGAACGATAGAGCTTTTCGGCTCACAGGACAACTGGCGCTCCGGCCAAACATCGCGATGCAACGAGCTCCATAGCAGGGCAATAGGCCCGATCTTGGGGCGAGCGAGAAGTAGTTTTCTGAAATTTTCCATACGATTTAAAGCGAAACGAGACCTGTCCACGCCAATTCCAAGCAAGCATCTGAAGCTGCTCGTAGCTTATTCAAACACCCAAGAAAACGTGTAAGTGTATCGGACAGAGCTATAAAAATCGACGACTTTTTTTTTTAAGCATGGGTTGCACGTTCAAATTTCGCAATGTACCCTAGCCGATTGTAAATTTCGCCGCGCCGGCCACTTTTAGACGCACCCTTGTACAACAATGTAGACGAGTGAATGAACTGCATCGACCCGTTTGTGTCACTCCACAAGCTGTTGCACAGGACACCTTTATCTCGTACTACAAACATGCTGGCGATACGAATGTACTGCAAAAATGCACACCTGTATATACTTGCTAAGCAGCGGTGCCTCTTGGCAAGAAGCCGCTATTACAGTCAGCACTCTGGCGCTTTACTGAGAAGCTTTTTGATGAAAAACAAGAATTCGTGTTCCCCAATGTACGCATTTGTGTCATCACCGTGGGCATGGCAAGGGTGATACATTTTGAAGTATCTACACTACATGAACCATCCGCCAGATGTTCCGTGGTTTCCATGCTTCCAACGCGTTCACACTGCAACGAGCGAAGCACCCTAGTGCGGCTGGAATCACATTTGAATTTCCACATTGACTCTGACATTTTATCCTGACAAAACCATGCTCCTGTCATTCCGGTTGCCCGTTACGCACACTATGCGAAGGCCCTGTGTCCTGCGCCCGCTGCGATTTTGCGTGCCCTCCCTTCCTGCTAGAACGCAAGCCCGATTGGTGTTCGATGATCCGTGCTACCGGCGCCAAAACGAAGAGGATTGGACAAACGGCTCGAAGCAAACCGTCCATGCGAATGAGTGGCGAGATGCCGCCGGTGCTCCACTGAATAAGCAAGAGGCGAAGATGAGGCAGAAAACTGCGGTCCTCGCCACCGTGCCTGCCAGCGATACAGCGGTGGTTCACGATGTGCAGGTATCAACGACCAAATGAGTCTGTGGAAATGGAAAGTCCCCTTAGTAGAGTAAAGAGACAGGTATACCTTGCGTGAAAACGATTTAGAAGTGTGGTTGGAGCAATGCGAAATCCTATTGCCACATGAGAACCAGTCACGACCCTTTCCACCTGCTGGACATTTTTTTCCATACCAGCAGGCCCTGAAGCACTGTCTGCACGTGCTGTATACCAACGGCGAAAAGTTTCTAGACAGCGGTATGATGATGAAAAACTCTGCCCACATGCAAAAAACGCATTTTGCATATGCAAATGAGCTGCCGTGCAGTGCCGAAACCAAAGAGACAATCGTGCCAAAAATGCCATGTGGGCAAAGTTTTTCCTACTACTGAAGACGGCGGGTACCACAAGCCGATGCTAAATGCGGACAAGCTTTTCAAGTTTTGCGTCAAGGTCGAAATTGCGTTCCTCGTCACGAACCTGTGCCTGCAAACGCCCTTGCTGTTCGAGGTATTGATGATATCGAACAGAAGAGTACACCTGTACCACAAAGAAAATCGAATTTGTGTTGCTAAATTGACGTTACTGGAAAGTCTGTAATGCGGAGACCACACAAGAAAACATTTTCCTTTGTGCAAAATGCAGTTTGTAATGCGTTCTGACGGTTGGAAAGAGGTATGGCAAAAACTCTGTCATGCTCTGCAGCCCAGAAGGGTTTTTTGCCAAACAAAAAACAGCATGTCAAATTTATTTCTTTTCTGGTGTGGGTGTACTTTTTTGGGGAATAGATGAATGCGCATCTCCAGTACGCGTCGCTCGCACTCGCCTGGTGGGCTGCGGTCTATGTTATCAAAGTGAAGATAGCCCTCGTCCCATATTCAGATGGAAATTTCTGTTGCTGGATCGCTCTGAACAAATTGGGGCTGTTTTCCAGCAGGCAAGACAAGGATGATTTTTGACCAGAAATGAGCGTCACAAATTTCCGTTTTGATTATGGGGCGGGGGAATTTTAGCTCGAGATACATGTTGGCTTAGACCTGGCCAAGTACCCTGGCTGGGTGGTATGCGGCACGACAACCGCACTCCAACTCCCGATATCCTGAGTAAAAACGTACCCACACCAGAGTCAGGATGAGGATTTTGCAACACAAACCTAGGAGTTTTGTGAGTCACGCATGACAAGTTGCACTATGCAGTGTAGTGCTGATTAGCAAGTGCAGCCGCATCACAGATTCACCTGCTCATCCCGTTCACAGCATCACAAATTGCAAAACACAATTCGAAATAGCTCTCATGGGGATGCGCATTACAAGTCTTCCTGTCTTTGCAAATCTGCATTACAACTCTGGTGTGGGTACGTTTTTACTCAGGATACCCGACTGCAAGGTGGTATCCACGAAGCGCGACCGCAAGTTTGGTCTTCGCTCTCGGGGTATACATTGCAAATACGTCTGGGTCTGAAAGGATGCGAAGTGTGTCATGCTCGTCTGGCATGCCTGAAGAGTTTGTGATGCACGTTCAAGAAGAGGTCCTTTTGCTCGTCATGCAAAAACGCAGTTTGTCATGCGTCGGAAAACGCAAAATGAAGCCGCGCAAATATTTCTCATGCTTGGCTGTGCATTACAGAGCATTCAGTATTCACAAGTCAGCATTACATCTTTCCAGACCCAGACATATTTGCATTGGATACGGAGCGATTGGGCTCTGCTGTACGGAAGCGAGCGTGCAACTTTCGTGTTATCCTGTGTAAAAACGTCCCCAGCCCATAGGTGTCATGCATATTTGCACCTGCAGAAATATCTGTAATGCGCATCCGCATGAGAAGAACTTGTAGTCGTGTTCTGAGATTTGTAATGCTGTAAACAGGACAAGCATGCATCTCCGTGGTGCGGCTGTCCTTGCTAAACAGCACTACACTAGTACAGATGGAACCCTCTCATGCGTAACTCCACGAAACTTGGACATTTGTGTTGCAGACTACTTGGCAACTTGACTACGGGGTGGGGCCGTTTTTGCTCAGGATACGGATGGACCGTGGATCAGCTACGGCGTCTTGCTGTCTGGCTACGGCGTGATGCTCCTCCTGGACTGTGCGTTCCACAAGTCGCTGATGCTGCCGTCTTGGCTCATTCGCTGTATCATATTGGGAATCATGTTTGCTCCCGATAGAGATTTCGGTTCTTATCTACCTAAAGCGAGTGATGTCGACTGGGTATGGTTTGTCATGATGGAACCGAACCTCGCTCTATACATGCATGCGCCGGCGAGCTATCGCTTTACGTTTATCAAATACGGCAAACTTATCCTTTGCAAATATTTCTTCAGCTCTGGCGCATTGCAAAATTGCATCGTCGCTTCTGACAGAATATCCCCGCTCAGCAACACAAACTCAGTTTTCTGGGACTGCCCATGGTTCGCACATTGATACGCAGGAAGCTTCTCCTGAACGTCGCAGCAATTCTATCGCATTGAAAATACTTCCCAGCCCAGAGTACAGAGGAAAGCCTCTGTGAGGTACAGAGGGGTTTTGCAGACGATATAAAGGGATTTGCATTTCGCATGACGTCTGGCGCTTCATTGTAGTCCAGTATTGAAAAACAGCCCTCGTCGTAGTCGTAGCAGTTCAGACTTCTTTTTAAAACTAGTACAGGCTTAAACTATTTCTGGGCTGGGAGGTTTTCACGGTGATCGGCCCTTTCACTGTCAGTCTCCTGTGCGAAAGGTAGGGCTCTCGGACACGATGGGGCTGAGCTGCTGCTGCAACAAAGAAACGCGGGTCGTGACCTGACGGATCCTACTTTGATATAGTGCGCAGAAAGACGACTAGCTCAAGCGAAGAAGAAGGAAAAGATGTGGCGCAAATTCTAATGCACTCGAAAAAAAAAGGAAAAAAAAAAAACTGTTTGGTGTACTGTGCGGCAACGGCCGAAAAAGCTTCGTTTCTTCATCGTATTTGTTCCCTTCTCAAAGCTTCGCAGCGGTAGTTGCAAGATCCAAGTGCTGGACCTAGCTCCACGTTTTTCGATTAAAACTACCTCAACACCCAATGTTCTGCCATCAACACGATCTACTTTCTCAGGATCAGCCCTGTAGTTTGTGGTACAAAGGAGAGGCGGCAAACCTCCGCAGTGATGCGAGGAAAATGGTTCTTCACCGCTCCGTGCGTTTGCACCAGCACCTCTTTCACACTTAAATGCTGTTTCTTGCTCCTTGCGGCATCCTGTGCCGCGGCAGTGGGGTCCGGTTTGCGCACCGCCATACTGCAGAGCTATTTTCCAGAACAACACAGGTCCGAGGAGCGGTTGTACAGCTTGGTGGAGCGCGAAAATACAGCAGATACCGCAACCGCTGACACGACTTCCGGTGCTGCGCACGCTAGCTTCGCAAAACCAGGCGCAGCTCGACTCGACGCTATCCTGTGGACAGATTCTATCATTTTTCCCCTCAGCTGCAACAGAGATTTAACAAGCATTCTCGAAAAGCTCGGGAATATACGTGGTCCTGCGAGATGTGTATCAGCGTAAGCATGTGCTTCTTCTGCAGCAAATCTTGCAGTGTAGCAACCTTTGCATCTGTGCGGCGGGAGAGGATAGTTCTTCCACAGCATACAATAATCTCTCTGTTTCGTCGACAATTACCGAAGAGCGCAGCAAGCAAACAGGACCAAGGATCAAGAAACGGAGCCAGCAACATCCTTCTTCACCTCCGCATCCACAAAACGCCGACGGCATTTTCAAACAATTGCGCGAAACCTTGGTGTCAGCTACTTCTTCCGCCCCCTCTTCGACAGCCCCGTGCTGTATGAGAAATTGCAGCGCGGCAACGACTGGGCAAGCGCCTTGCTCTTCCAGCGGTTCTCAGGATACTACGACCAGCTCCTGTATGTGCACGAGTCAGCGCATCTCGAAAAAGATGTCGTGGAAGCGCTTCTGCGGCACTACCACCAAAGGAGAGAAGAGCCAGCGAGCTCAGCATCCGCGACCAAGGAAACAGTGGTGCAAGACACAGCGACGGCGGGAAGAATACTGCTAATCACAGCACCTACAGCTCCGGGTCGTCGTGCTACAGGAGATACAGCGGTCGCTACGCACCAAACAATCGCGATTCTGTCTACTGCGAGTGACATCGCGGAGGACGGCCGGACACTCCGCGGACGCGACGCTCTGATGGAGTTTTGGACGAACGTTTTTCTGGACCGCCACTGCCTAGACCTGACGGTTGCGAGCTGCGCGCATAGGCAAGGAGGGGGGGTTGAGTCGAGTAGTTGTCGCTTGTACAAGCTTGTCTCGAATTTCGTACCATCCCGAATAAAGTGGAACGTAGCTTGAAGATGATGAAATGTGCATGACAAATCGCAATGTTTGACTTAACAAGCCCCTCCTTATTGCATAGTACGAAGGAGTGCCGCCCAGGGTTCCGAGTATTGGACGCTGACGGAAGCGTCTGGCTTTGTCGAGGTGCACGAACTGGCATTGCCAGACCCGCAAGACGCTCCGGTCACAGCACTGGACCTGGACCAGATTCAGTTCGTCGGAACAGTCGGCAGCGCAAACAAATCCCCGCTTTTCACTGGCGGTCCTCCTCGCGGTCCAATCGCAACTGCTACTTCAACAGCGGACGGTGTGCACGATTCGCCGAGCGGTGACACGCCTGACTCAGGCGTGCCCGCGGCACGAAAACTGAAGATCGCGGTCGTGCAGACGTACTTCCCGCGCTCTCATACGAAACGTGCCGAATTGTATTCCTGGACCGAAAGAGAACTTCTTGCCGAGCCACTGTACGAAGAGCATCTCGCGCAAGAAGGATCTCAAGGAAGCAGCCGAACCCGTTCCTTGTTCAAGGATTCTCGAGTACTGCAGACCGCGGAAAACCTGAAAAGCAGGTTTGATAAATCAGAGGGGGCAACAACTTCTTCACCCAGCGGCCACGATCACTCACCCAGTGCTGCGACACAGCGCAGTCAGCTCTTCTTCCCTCTGTACGTGAAGGCCGTTGCCAAGATCAACCAAGCGTACTGTGTATGAAATGAACCGTGCCTCGATAGTAAATCCTTCGGAGCTGCACAGCAGTGCAACATCGCTATGCTCGGTGGGCGGACAAGGTCGTCTATGTGGCCACGGTTCATTTTCATGCGAAAAACGACACAACTACGCCTACATCTTCCGCACAAAGTTCGAAGCGCGCGAGCCACTCTACGTCCAACGTGGCAAATTCGCGACCGCTGGTCACTTTCTGGATGGAGTGCAGAAAGAACGTCCGCATCGAGCGTACTCCTGGGGGCGAATTCTTCTCGTGTGGCGGTATTTGCCGTTTTACGACTACGTGCTCATCGCGGACCTGGACGCAGCATTCGTTCGCCCGCAAACAGTATCAAAGCACAACAGCGCATTAGCAGGCACTCCCGGGGCTATGGCACTTCCTCGGTGACGACGCTGAACAAGGCATGACATTTTGTATTCACTCTTGTGTACAATCTACGGGACACGAAAATTTTAGCTGGCTGTGCGTTCTGTGCATTCCTATAAATCCGTATAGAAACTTTGCTGTACTTCTGGGACCCAAGTGTGCGCTGGCTCTTGCAGACACCGGAAAAGAACGTGGATCGCCCGTCCAGACCAAGCGACCCGAGCCCCGCAAACCTGGTGTTCGAAAATCAGCCACTGAAATTCGTCGGCTTTTTCGGCACACAACTGCAGGCCGGCGTTTTCATGATGCGGGGCGGCACGCTGGTAGCAGACGGTAACGAAGAATGGGGCTCGGAGTTTCTCATGAGGATGTACCTGCACCCAATGTGCTTCGACGGTGGACTGTGTGAGCAGACTTGCGCGAATGCGTGGCTGCTCGCAGACCTGGGCAACTGCTGCGGACAAGCGGGCGAACACAGGGGCAGCGGACACCAGCAAATCCCTTCGTGCGGCGACCCAGCGCTCGACGGAATCCAAACGGGCTTCAAAGCTGCTGACGAAAGTGGTGCTCCGGTCGAACGTCCAGAAACTTCTGTAAACGAACCTGTCCCGAGCGCAGCCACGAATAGCAACACTCCGGAAGACGAAAATGCCAGTTTCGCTTACATCAGGAACGGGCCGCACAGCATCCGCCACTTTGTTTTTGGACAACACTATCAACCCGGCGCACGAGCCCACAGCCGAGCCGCGCGAGTTCTTCCTGTTGGTACGATGCAGGCTATCGAAATGCGGACGAGACTGCGAATTGTCAGCGAAACGAATGGCGCGGTCCGGTTCTCGACCGGCTTTCCGAAGGAGCCCGGCGCCACGGAAGGCGATACGCAGTATACATTCCGAGACGACATTCTGGACAGGCCGTTGATGTACCACACCGCTGTATGAGATTTGAAAAGCGCTGCGTACTTGACATCGTCAGGCATGCAGTCTCGCTGTAGTTCACCCTCGTTTATTATTTACTCAAACAAGATCTTTTTGCCAGACATAGTTCTTGACAAGATGAAAAAGTCCTGCAGTCAAGTAGGAAGCAGGTGTATTTTTTCCTTTCATGCGACGGCAGGGGCGAAACCTTCAAAAACGTAGTCTTTACAACCCTCCTTGATATGACGGCAAAAGATGAAGTTACAGGCAAAGCAGAGATTCATCGTGCTGCCCAACAACCGTTGTTGAAACCAGCATCCCGGCCAGAGCCCGAGTTCCTCTGGGAATGTCTCACTCCCGGCACGGCAAGCTCAGGAGAGCGAGCTGCTTCAACGCACACGTCGCTTTTTAACCGGGTAATGGACGCTTTGGGAGCCTACTATGGATACCAGTACGACTTTCAACACCACTATGGAGTCAGCCCCGAGAACACAAAAGGGACCATCGAAGGCCGCAACTACAAGGAACTACGGGGATTCTCGCCGAGCTTCGCCGAGACGATGACGGAGATATTCCCCGATGCGCCTTTTCGCCGGGGGATACACACAACGCCCAAAGACCTTGCGATCATAGTTCCTACTTTCAGCACGAAGACAGTAGGAGGACCCGAACACGCAACAAACTCGCCTGAACTTCCCAGGAAGTCACCTGTCCACTCCGCCCTGAATTTCGCCGCGTGTTACCAGGCCTACAGCTCCTACCATCGTGTCGGCGTGTTTGCAGTCGGACATCCCCTAGCTGCGGAAAGCATCTTGACCGCAAGTCATGCGCTTGGTGCGCTTCTGTATCGGCGTTTGCCTTCCTTTGTTCTACCAGCCCGAGGCGGCAAGTCCTACGGACCCGGCGGAACCGCTACAGAAATCGCAGTTCGCGAATACCACCGCGGCCGCAGCAACCAGTTCGTCGTGAAGCGGTCAAGGCCTCGCTCCAGGCCATCAGAGACAGATTTTCCGCACGCGGCCGGCCAAGAATACGAAGACGGGTTCAATTCCTTTTTCGAGCCAAGCATGGGCGAGGGCGACGGAGAAACAGTGACAACCTCGCGGTTTTGGTCCGCGTTCGTGATCTGGAATGCGGATGATGGGGCGGAAGAAGATGGACATGACGTACCGAGCACTGAAACTGCAATCGCGCAAACGGAAGCAGCTGTAAAAACCAGTTTATCGTCCTCAAACTCAACCGCCACACCGAGTTACAAATGGGCCAAAGCGACTGTCCTCCATGTCCGGGAGCTGCTGTCCTACGGTTGGCGTAGGAATGATCAGTTTTCCATCGACTACTTAAACATTCCCACGCGGGTTTTCATCGTATCCAGCAATGCAAATTTGCGCCAGCATCTCCTAATACTTCACCTGCTGGAAAGGCACGTAGGCTGTACGATAGAGAAACTCTCAACTGCACTAGCAGTATGTAATTTCTCCGAAGAATTGGAACTAGATCGAATAGCAGGTAATGGCGCTTTCGCGTAAAAAAGCTCTTCTGCTCGAGCTGCGACCAAGCAGGATCGGCACCTGCCCGCAGTTTACAGCAGCATAACGCACCTTACATTGTTGATACATTTCGCCCGTTGTTCATGTTGGAACTGATTTGTCCCTCGCAGGAAAGTTATGCCAACTCGGATCCCTCCTAAAACACACCAAAGCACAGTTCCAGAAGGACACAAAAGATGTGGAAAAATTGAAAAACCGAAAAGAAAGATCCATGACTTGATGATGCAAGAGAAAAGAGGAATCAAAGGTCATCTCGCTGTCGATGAAGTGCTCAAAACACAATAGCAACCTTTTCCATTTTGAACAACGCGTCGCACCGGTATACGTTTCTATTTCGAAAAAACCAAGTCAACAAGCAACGTAAAATAGTAGAAAAAGTTCGTAGTTAGTCGGTCCCACAAGAAAATTATTGGCGCTTCGTAATACGCTTTTTGAATCACAAGCAACACAAAACATGCGAACCTTCATTCGGGCTGCCGGGGTAGCCTATGCTACCGTCCGATTTGCGGCTGCGTCGATGAATTGTGACGACGAGTTTGAGCCCTACTGTATGAAAGATTTGCCGCAGGGGTACACTAATCTGGATCTCGGCAAATGCTTTCGCAACATCCCGGCGGATAAACGCTCGGAAGGTTGCAACAAGTGGTATAATTTATACTAAGCTGTTTTCTGCAGGTTTGATAATAGAAAACTTCAGCTGTTGTTCGAACTTTCGCACCAATGTCTCTTTACTATGCACAAAGCCGCGGGAGGCGCCATGGTAAATCCTAGACAGAACAAACGACAGGGTCACGTTCCACGAACAGTGCAAGGAGGAATTCGCGGGTGAACGCTGCATGGGCTCCGCCTGGACCCCGGATGCGGAGATCTGTGTGAAATCCTGGACCCCGCGGAACGAGATCACGGCACCGTGCGGGGAGATGTTGCCGCCGGAGGAGAAGAACGAGGAGGCGGAGCTTTCCCCCGCCGCCAAGAAACGCAAGGAAGAGCGCCGCAAAATCCGCGAGGAGGCGGCCGCCCGGATGCGCGATGAGCAATCCGGCGGTAGTAAGAAGACCAAAAAGAAGAAGGGCAGCAAGAAGAAGAAGAGCAAGAAGACCGACAAGTCCGAGTTGTAAGTTGTGAACGCACGATCAACTCTGTCTCGGCAAGTTTGCTGTGAAGAACTCGTGGCTCTTCGGATCTGGTGTGCACCTCTGTGCACCGTTCTGAAGCCGCAACGCTGCGTTGCGAAAGTTATACGGAGTGGACTTTTTTAGAAACTTCGACACGGCAACCTCAAACATTTTTTTAATGAATTCTCTCAGGAGATGCTAGTGCAACCTCTCAGCAACCTCGAGCCACGGGAACGAGTTGCGAATAATAACGAACCATTTTTCAATTGCCGTGCTGAGGTGTTGCGAACCGGAGCACAGCTCGAATCGGCTTCGCTGTGGGTATGCTGTTCTGCTCTGAGTAGTTTCGTGTGTGCTCCTTCGCAAATGATTTTCTCGTTTCGGACTTTCAACTCTTTCTCCTCTTGCGTTTCTACTTCCTGTTAATCGTTTTAGTTGTGGTGAGAAAAAAAGATCCCAGTTAATACGTAGTCACCAGTGCGTTCCGACCCTGTCGTTGGGTCTACCCGCACAAGTTTCGTCTAAACGCGGTCTTTTTCTCGAGCCCCGCTCGTGTGTTTCGTTATGCAAGTGCTACATGCTGCAACCGGGTCTGACTTCTCCACCTGCCTGCACGTCGTGGAAACTCCGGCGGGTGGTGCGTATATCGCGTATGGCACGGCGTTTGGGAAGATTGCGCTACAACAACTTTCCCGCGGAAAGCAGCTTGCCGAAGGAGGCAGTGGCGAGCGACCCGTTGAAGAGCTGGAGACGGGCAGGGCGGAACAACATGAACTCCAGAATTACCTGGGGTTCCCTGCAGTTCACGTCTGGATCGACAGTACGGCACCTGCTGCACCACGTACTGGTAGTAATGAGGATCCAGAAGCCGTAGCGCCTGGCCTCCGCGTGTGTGCGGTGTTTCAGTACGTCGGGAGCCACCATCTCATTCGGGCATGGGAGCTTTATCCAGGGCGAGTTGCCGGGACCTCCAGTACCGGGGAGAAGCTGCAGCAGGTACGGACTGCTGTTCAATTTGTACTGCACGCAGCCGATATGCGAGCAATCTCTTTTACGAATGATGGGGCGCTGCTACTCCTGAACAACAAATATGTTGGTGCTGAAATCAGAATATGAATATAACAGGTTCCACCTCCTGTGCCAAAGCTCTCCGTTCGACCATCAGTAGAAGCTTGGGTCGTGTCCAGCAGCTCGACCTTTCACGTTCGCGAAAGCCGACCGCTCCCGAACGAAATTTATCCTGTTGAAAATATTTTCGATATTTGAATTGTCATTAGGAAATTAGAACAGAAAATATGAACTACCCAGAATTCTCTGCCGTGGAGATCGGCTCTGGGATTGAAAATATTTCAACAACATAAACGGTTGTACAACCTGTGGTCGCAGCTACCCGAGAATACGACGATTCGAGGAGCCGAGGAAGAAGCGTTTTTCTGTGCCACGAACGGTCACTTGCTGCTCTACGGGAAGCAGCAGACGCGGGTGATTCGGCTACGAGAACTCTGCACCTTCCTCTTGCCCCCGACATCGTCGGCCGGAGGCGAAGGTGAAGGCCGCGACACGAATAGTACAGTAGAAGTGGTCTCGCATATTACAATGAATAATGTCCCCTCCGCATTTCAACACCGGAAATCTGTGCTGCAGATTTGTGGTCACAAATCCGCTTTGTCATGGTAGAAGGCAAAAGATGCGGACTGTAGTGCTGGCTAGCGTGGGAAAGCCTTGCATCTTCAGCACGACACGAGGCAACTGGAAGTGGGAAACAGCATGACAAATTACCTGCAATGCAGGCCGCAGCTGCGTCTCTTGGCATTCTAGCAATAGAAATCGGCTTGTGTACTCAAATACAGCAACACAAATTTCGTTTCCGATATGGGGAGGGGGCATTTTTCCCTTTGATATCGCAGCTTGGCTACACGATTCCGGATTTCTACCCCCTGATCCGCAACGCGAACGAAAACTTCAGTGCCTGGCCCCTGCAATTTCACGACGGCGCCGTACTTTTTGTGGAAAAGCGCGGTGAGGATGACGAGCGAACGGAAATTGCAGTTGGCCCACCGGACGTCAGAATCCACGTGCTGCCGCTGCACGAGAACGAGTCATGCCCGGCCGGACCAGGAGAAGTCCATCACGAGTACCGTGTGCGCAAGCGCGTTACGGCGATGGCGCTTGTCGGATCTGGAAGTGCAGATCATGACCAGCCACAGCGGGTTGTCGTTGTCTCCGATTACCGCGAGGTGCAGGTATTCGACCAGGCTGCGAGCCGAAGCGCAGAGCAGCCAGCTATCGCTCCGCCAGTAATCCGACTGCCCGACGACTTTGTCGCCATGGACACGCAAGGCAGCATGCGAGGGCAACACAACGGTCAGGAAATGGTATACCTCCTCACCCGCGGGTGCCGCGTGTTCGAGCTCGATATCAACTCTGCGGCCACTGGATACACGGACTCCAGCAACAACACCATGTCCGAGTTTTCTTTCGTCCTGCATCAGGATAGCATCGCTGATACTTCGGGCACACATTTGAAAAGATTGACATTCGATCTGCCATCGCAACTTTTTTGCACTAAGGAGCTAGCAGTGATCAAGACTGATCAGGGACTCATAGCACTACAGAAAATAACACACTAGCGAAGAAGATCTTTAAAGCCCTCAATAAGTGTGTCCCGTAATGATAAACACACAACGCAGATTGCTTTTCCTTTTCGCGCCGTCCTGGATTTCCAATTTGATCTTATGTTCAGGTTTTCTCCTGTTACAGCAACATCTTACTTCCTCCACTTTATGACCAGCGACCTTCTGTGAACGTACTACACACAAACTATTTCGGCATACAGACACTATTCATCCCAAACCATGATTTAGACCGCAGTTATAGCATTCGTAGTTTTTCTTGAAGCCCGCATCTGTCTCTTAGTGAAGTTTCTCTTTCTTTGACAGCATAACTAGCACACATCCCGTCTTGAAAATGTCAGCGACCGCGAACACTTTTCCAACCAGGCATAAGAAAAAGCCTGGCGCGGCTACGGTGAAGCCCGGTACGCTCGCATTTGCGGGTAGTGCCTCCAGCGAGCACTATGAATACGACCTGCACAGCGGCATTGTCATTCAGAGGAGTTTGAAAAACATGTATCCTAAGTGAAAATGGCCCCCCCGCGTAGTCAAGATGACAGCTTTGCTACACAAGCCAAGGACTTTTCGCTGTTGTGCATGGCAACTTTGAGCTTCTTCTAGTGCAGGGGCATGTCAAATCAATCTTCTAATGATCTCGATTCGAGAAAAACAAGATCCCAGATAGCGATAGCAAATGTTGCATCAGAAACATTTGTAGAAATGCACGTTTGCATAAATATCAAAGCTGGGGTAGGAACGTTTTTGCACAGGACTACATGGCGGCCATTCTTATCGAACCGGAGGGAGGAAAGCAGCGAATTTTCATGTTCGACTCCGTGGAGCTTCTTGACAAATTCGTCGCCGCATGTACTGCATGTCAAGCTGGCAATAAGAATGCCGAGCAGAAACCGGAGATGCAAGAACCGGCACCGGGTCGTACACCGAGTGGTGCGGCGAGCAATAGCGAACCAGAACAACCGGGGGAAGACGCGAAGGCGTCATCGAGAATAACGACAGCAGATCAGAAACTACCCCAGCAAGAAGCACCGCTACAAGAAGAGGACGCGTGGTCCAAGCGGATCGCGGCTTTTCTCGAGGGCGATGAGGACAACGAGTACCTGCAGAAAATTCTAGATGCGCACGGGGCGCTTTTCGAACAGTATGTCCTCGAGGAGCGATCACACACACCCGCCCAGTTCCTCCGGCACGTACTGTCTACCATGACAAGCGACGCTAGCATAAACCAACAGTTCGCCCTGCCGCAGGCGCGACCGCAACCAAGCGCATTCGTAGCGTCCGCAGGACCTGAGCGCGACTTCTCCCGCTACCTGAACGCCTTCGCAACGGAGGATGGTACAGTTGGCCTCGACAGCGATATTCGCCAAGCACTGCTCGAAGAGAATCCGCCACTGCAGAAACTGCACCGACTGTACGTAAACGACCGGTACAGCGATGACGATTTTTGGAACGAGTTTTGCATATCAACGTGAAAATTGCTCCGACCCTCAGAACAAGTTGATGGCACAGTGGTGATTGTCGATCCAAAGTTGTCATGCCTAGGTGGACTCAAGGATTTGTCAGGGGCATACAGCGCTGTGTCAATGAATCCACGGTGGAGACAATTTTTCTCGTAATACCCAACGCAATCAAACTACTTCCTCCTGTTGCAGGGAAAGAACGATGTGCGTCGCCGACACAACCCGAAATTCGATCCCTACATTCCACAGGAGCTGAAGTTTGACCAGGAGAGTAATCCGTCTGGCTTCGCCCACCTCAACGTCGCGGGGACTTCGTCGTCTGGTGCACGTAACGCCGCGAATGTATTACCTACTCAGCACGAACTGACCCTCGACGCCAGCTCCGCGCCGTCGCGAAGAAAAATGCAACAGCTGCTCGGCGAAATGGACGATCCAAATGCGGCGGGTGTGGTGCAAAAATTGGACGATGATAGCAACCAGAAGTGGCGCCTGACGCAGTGGAATAACAACGACCAAAAGATGCTCGCATATGGCACAGAAAGTTTTCTTCATCTCAGTGAATGACCATGAGCCCAAATTCCACGAACATTTTGCAACCCATTATGTATCTGTCTTGCACGACAATGCACTGAATTCATTTTTTCAAGTACCGGCCGGGCACCAAGTAACACGGCCATGCACGATCTCGCAGTGACCCCTCGTCGTGACTCTCTCGAAAAGTCCAGTTTGCACGCGTGATGGTAAAAATCTGCTTGCGTGCCCTCTGTCTTCTCGGCCAAGGACTCGGGAACCTGGTTTGATGAAAACGGTTTCCATAGGATTTCCTGGGCGCCGAACTCGGAAAAGCACACACATCAAGGACGCGGATTTTGCATCGCGTAAACCAGCTATCAGCAAGGGCGCTGCCGCATCTGCTGCCGAGCCCGGCATCTGGCAAGGAACCTAGCGTGCGATCCAGTAGCGATGACGAGAACGAGATGGAAGAAATGGTAGAACTATCGCGAAAAAAACGGCGCCTCGCAGATCCGTCGGGCTACGCGACCGAAACTGGTGTAGCACGATCGGACGGCACAAACAACAACCCAAGCGACGCCAGTTTGAGCACCGACCCCAGGAAGCCGGCACCGAAGTCCTTTGACGGAAACACGCTGAGTCCGATTGAGCACGAGGTGCTCAAAACTATAGCAAATCGCAGGTACCAGCTTCCTCAGGACAAGTGGCCCAGCAGTGTCAGCATGCGCAGCATTCGCTTTCCGGACCACCCGCAGGTGCAGAACGCGTCGAAGCACCTCTTGACCAAGAAGGACAAAGACAAAACCGCGGATCAGGGGCACCAGACGAAAGCTGTGCAGCCGCCCGCCATCCGAATCAGCAAAAACGATTTCAGGCTGCTGGAGCAGCAGCTTCAGTTATTCTACGCACCCATGAGCACCTTGAAGCAGAGGCAGCTCATCTTGCGCAAGTTGGATATGGCGATCGACGAGCTGCAGCAAGAACGGCTCGGAGCGAATGAGAGGTACAGGCGCACCAGTACTAACAACGCCTGTCCGCAGCATTTTTTAAACCAGGTCGAACACGCGAAAAAACACCTCGAGCGCATGCTGAATGCGATTGATCCGTGATAAGTGTTTCTGTATTGACCCGCAGGTGATGATTAGAACAACCACAAAGAGCACTCAGGCTCGAGAATAAATACTGTCAGATCATCTGAAGCGGAAGCTCAACTGTTGTTCGTGCTCCTTCACGTCGTTCGTACTCTTTCGTGTTATTTCGCCCGGCATCTTAGAAGACGACGCTGCACTGTTTTTGATATAGAACCCTTTCGAAGCATTGAGGGCCACACGCTTCTTGGAACAGATCATCGTCGCCAGGGACGCAACGAAAAATTCAAAAATGAAGTCTGACTATCGTGCGTTGCCTTCCGACGGGCCGCCGCCTGCTCCTCTGCAGCGGAACTGGGTGCTGCTCTTCGTCTTTCTTGCTGCAAGTTTGCTATTCGGAACCTGCTGGCTTCTCCTGCCAGAACCTGTCTACCCAAGTGAAGTACCAGCAGCAAGGCTATCCGCAAAACCTTTCCACCCGCTGTTTTTTTTTCGCTGTTTTCTGTGACTGTGACAAGTATCTTTTTGTCGCTCTCGCTGCGATGCAACTTTATTCTTTTCTGCCAGGAAACGGCGAAAAAAAAAAACGATCTTCACTCGCATATCCTAAAGCCCAGTTTTCCGGAATACTTGACGAAACAACGATGTACATCTTCAGTGGCCGCGGTGCTCATCGCTCCGTATTGCAAGACCTGTGGTCCTTTGACTTCTTTTCTAAGCGCTGGAAGCACCATCGCAAGCCGAGTCCAAAGTTCGCGTTAGGCTTTCCAGAGGCAAACGGCGATGCCTTTCTTCTGCCGGTGACCGGCCGCTCCGAGGAGCTGTACAGCCCGGACAAGCAAATTGCACCGACAGGCCGTTTCAATGGATGCCATGTCAGCACGCAGGACGGCATCTTCATCTTCGGAGGCGACGAGAAGTTCTATGGCACAGGCGACCCTGACCCGAACTTCATGAGTCGCGAGTTGTGGGTTTTGACGACTCGGCATCACAAAAAGAAGCCGCACTGGCAGCGCATCGGGCCGTTAGTCTGGAACTTTACGAACGCCACGGCTCCCTCAATGCTGAGCGGAAATGGCTTCAGCGACGAAGCCAAGGCAAAATATAGCGTGGAACGCTCTGCCCCTGCATGCAGCTACGATGCGAATGCAAAACAATTTTTTTTTGTCGGCGGTCGACCTGGTGTGGGCTCTCCTGACAACGAGCTCTGGGTGATCGATGTCGGGTATGGAAAAAAAAGACTTGTTCTGTGGACGCTTCTGTTGCTGCTTGTTCTGCTCTACATTTATGTTGTCTTCGCTAACTCCTATATAGCCAAGAGACAAAAGCGTCTGCAGCCGCCTTGTACCTGCATACCTAAACAAAAACTGCCACGCCTGCCACGATGAGCGGAACCGTCCGACCACTGCCAGTCAAAGGCGCGTGCGCTGGAAGTCCACGGGCTTTCGTGACGCCATCGACCGCACAGCCAGCAGATTTTTCATCTACAACTACTGCAGACCAAACGGCTAATTCAACATTCGATAACTGGGTGCCTGTTATGTATCTTCATGGCGGCCGAAACGGAAACCGATATTCCAATCAACTTCTGAAATTAAGGCGACACACTGCTTCCGGCATTTTCCAATGGGAGCCGCTTGCTGGAGAGTACGGCGTGGTGACATCGGGAACGATCCGGCAAGCCGTTTTTGAACCTAGCGCAACCGTGACCGAAACCCATGGCGCAAAGCGACGAGCAATCCCACCGGCCAGGAATCACCATGCCTGCACGTACATCGAAGAACATGACCAATTCTGGGTTTTCGGTGGTAGAAGTAATCACCGCGGCAACGACGAAGGCCTCCTCCACGATCTGTGGGGATACAGTACGAAGAAAGGTCTCTGGCATCGCCAGGGGCCTCGCAAATCAGCAAAGGCATGGCCAACTCCACGGTTTCTTCCTTCATTCGAATACCTTGCCAGCGCGGACAATTTTCTAGTCTTTGCTGGACAAGATAGAACTCAAAAAACAAACGACATCTGGCTACTGAGCCGCATGACCCATAAGACTGATCTTGTTCAGCCCTGTGAGTATTGTGACTGATAACAAGGAAAAGGCCATTGTGGCACCAGACGGCGCAACAAGATACAGCACGGCACCGCCCAAAAACATTTGATGTTGATGTTGTGTTCGCGCATCATATGCATAGAACATCGGTGGAATCAGTTGCAGCACGAACTGCATCCGAGTTGAAGTTCCATGCAGCTTGCTTCTACAGCCTTGCACGGCTGCCGTATTATTGATCATCGCCTACTACCATCTTCTCCCTCTCTTCTCCCTCGTAGTCGTGAGAAAGATAGATCATCTGGAAAAGGCGGCTCGCGCAGTGACTTTCGGTGGTGACCATCAAGTGTCTTTTTTTTTGGCTGACAACTGTCGCACTACTTGCATCTAGACAGCTTTGCAGCTGAGTTCCTCACTCGGTTTAATCGTCGCGTTGCTGTGAATAAGGAAATCCGTCGAAAGTCGGGAACCCCAGCGCCCTTCGCTAGTGGTCATCATTTCTCAGTTTTGTTTGGAGGTTTGTTTTTCATTTTTCTGTTTCCGCGTGAGGGTTTGAGTACTTCTAGATAGCAACACATAGCGCGGAAAATGTCTACGGCAACACCCCACCGTGTGCCGTCTCGTCCTGTTTTGTTTTTATTTTTGTGTATTGGTGAGACGACTTTTATTTTCCATACGGTGTTGTTTGGCACGATTTTGGAACCAAAAGCAAAAGCATTCACTTTTGCGAGACAGAACCATTGTTGCATCCGAAAACGCCGGTGAGACCCCGGCGGATGCTGATGTCCGCAAAACAGGGCAGGCGGATGACAATAGCTGAGGGCGACGATGTTTGTGGGGTACAGACGTGCTGCGAACCGTCGGGGCCCCGGCTGCTTCTTTTTGTTAATTGCCGGCGAGCTTGTCACACGTTCGGAGAACTATTGACACCGAACCAGAAGAAAAATCAACTCGATCCTTGATCCTATTCCGGAAGAAAAAAAATCTACTCGAAAACTGTGAAAATTCTCTATTGATTTCTCTTATCGATTTCTCTATCGGGATTGCAGTATAATCAGCGATTTCTCGCATGGCAAACCAATTATAGTTCATAAAAATCGAAACCAAAAGGCGAAGGAATCGGTAGTTATTTTCTGAAAATAAATCTTGGAGATCAATGTGGCTCGTCGGTTCGACTCATGGTTTCTCGTCCTGGGGGCTCGAGGTCGCAGGCTTTTCCATGGAAATCCTATGAAATCGACCTTCTCCCGATCTAAGAGGGCATTTTCAACAATAGAAAATCTATAATCTTACTCCAAATCTCTAGAAAATCAACCCGATTCATGATGGAAAAAACCAATGAGGATTTTAGAGTGATGTAGCAGGTGTATTCGACTTACCGATCGGGATTCCGATAAATAATCCAAGATCTGTGAAATGGGTTGTATTCTTAACTCCTATCCTGACTCCCGACCAGAATCTGCATGCGATCAGGATTCGATAACAATGAACGGGTAAAGTTTTGTTATCCGATTCTGCTTCCTCGATGGGATATGAGGATATAAGTGAAGTCTTAATCTGAATCTGGAAGGGTGAGATAGGTGTATCCTGATTCCAATTCGAATTCCTCGATGGGATTTCCGAGTTCCTAATGATAAAGAGACAAATCTATTGTGTTTTCCGAATCCGGATTCCCGGTAGCATTATTCGGTAAAGAATGGGGAAAATCTATTCTGAATCGAATTCGATTTCCTCGATGGGATTCGATAAAATATAGATTCCGATTCGCATTCCCGAGAGGATTCGATTCGAAATGAAAAAATAGAAAGTTATTCCCGATGGGATTCGATTCAAAAGAAATCGTGATTGTTTTCTATTTTTTTCTTTCTTTCTTGTCTTGTCCTGGCATGATTCAAATTCTCGTTTTGGCCCCCCGGTCCGAGATTGTCTTTCTTCTTTCTCATCATCATGTAGCTCCCTCAAACGATAAAGATAAAGATGGAGAAGTAGAGAAAAGACAACGATAAAGATGATGAAGTTGTTTTCTATTTTTTTCAATTAATTACAATTCAAATAGTATTATTCCTATTCGAATTCTCTTCATATCGAAATTATTTTTGTTCTTTGAGTTTCATCTTTATCTTTTGAGAAAGAATGACCTGATGATGAAAACAAAGAAGAATGGATAATCTCGGACCGGGGTTATGATAAATTTGAGTCATGCCCCGACATGATCACAAAGAAAGAACCAAATAAATAGAAATCTCGCCCCGATGGGATTCGATTCAAAATATTCCAAATCTATCCTGGTCCGTGGAGGGGTTTATGTTTGAATGCAAATCCGAAACATGACCCGGCTCGATTTTATCTCCGATCGGATTCGGTGAATTTAGGCCAGAAAAAGTGGTCATCATTAGGTGGTAAGTTGCATGACAGAGGTTCTGAGATTAATCCGACCGAGATTATGAACACAAAAAAAAGAATGGATGGAATTCATCTGAATAAATAGGGTGTTTGCAGTCATTCGAGTGATTTCCTTCTCTATCTTCTGTGTCAGTCGCAAGCCTGTCTAGAGTGTGCCTGATTGTGTTTGCTCCTTGTCACAGGCCCGCCTGGAATGTGCCTTTCTCCTTTAACTTTTGAAGACCATAAATCGTCAGCCTGCTTTGCCTGAGAAGCCCATTTTCCGTCTTCGTTTTTACATCAGAAAGCAGGTCCGCTGTCATTTGTTTTTTTCTGTGTCTCGTCTCTCGTCGTGATTTGAGACCGTAGGCCTCAAAATCTTTGATCCTGGCCATTGTTTGGCAATGTTTGTTTGAAGGTGTTCCAGAAGTTTTGCAAAAACCACTCACGAAATGCTTTTTATTTTGATGACGCAGCTTGTGAAGGCATAAAAGTGAGTAATTCGTCGCTCCTGACAGCAATTTATCACGACTTCGAGCACCGACGGCAGAGGTTTTTCCGTAGACTTCCGCTGCAACAATTGCAACGTCGTCTTCGAATGTGGTCGAACTTACAGCTCTTCTATTTCGCTCTTCTAACTTCTCCCTTCTAGGTATTGAAATAACTCGCGCCAGTAGTCTTCTACATTTTCTAGCTGTCAGCGGGTTTTCTCGAGAGTCAGCAGATCCTCGACAGCACTTCAACTTCAACAGCACAGAGAAAGCAGCCCTGACGCCTATCTTCGACTTCAGTAGGGACAGCAACAGCAACAGCGACTTCGACAGCAAAAAGGACGACTTCGACTACAGCAGGATCATGAAACTCCTGACGTATTGGGTTAAGGTAATCCAATACGTCGCGGGTCTTTGTTCTCGAACAAAATACAACTTCTACCTTCTTCGATTAGCCCGGAAACAAGTGGTCGGCGGGAGATGCAGCTTCCAACCAAGCGCAAGTACCGAGGTTCACGGGGTGCGAGTGTGTCTTGTTTTTCAGTCAAGCGGAATCTTAAAAGGGCCCAAGATTGTGCCAAAATCCTGTGAGTATGAAACCAAGATAACCAGTAACGCATAGAAGGCCGCTTTCGTATTGTATTTCTAGAGGTTTTCGCTTTCGATATCGCAAACGTGGCATCTTGATCATGGACCTTGTATTTACATCCGTATTCGATTGCTCTAGTGGAGGAGGTGCCGAAATTGTTCAACGTATTGGTTTGAGGTAACCCAATACGTTAGCAAATGGATCAAGTAGCACAGAAGTGATTCAAATTATTTCGATGAAATTGAACTAAAGCATTGAAATCCGCGGACCATTTAGATCAAAAGGGTACGAAATTTGTATTGAAATCAACTACATCAATACTACATGAGCCTTCAGAGTGTTGAACTTTTTCAGGTCTCGATAAATCGAATAGATCAATGAACTTTGTGGAGCTCTTTTTCCAACCTATTGACTTCCCTTAACTCAATACGTCGCCGATCTGCATCATTTCTGCGCTCAGGATCTCAATTTACTCAAATTCCCCCCAGTGTAGACGCATGCAGATCAAGCGACTACATAAATAGAGTAGTAAAAGAAGAAGAAGAAGAAAAAGTCAGACAGTAGTAAACTCGTAGTTACAGCGCTAACCTTTTACGTAGGTCTTCTTCTTCATAAAATCGATGTAGTCATTGACTGTCCCAGGACGACCATCATCATCGTGCGCCGCGATCGCCTGCTTCGAACTGAACCAGGTGCTAATATCCCAAATTTTCCCGCTCCGCTTGCCATTCGTAAATATGTGGCCAGGAGTGCTGAAATCGTATAGGTGGACCTTCGTGTCCACGATTCGTTCCATCGAGACGGGGTTCTTGATTGCTAATTTCGTCGACCGCTCGCGATCCATCAGCAGATAGCTGCGCTGATATACCTTGTGGATGACGAACACACAGCTCACTGCGGCAGTTCCCCGCAAGCGAGACCTTAGCCCTTCGGTCCGTATGTGGGAGCTGCACCATCACAATCTGCCCACGAGGAAGCGCCTCCAAGTTGCAGCCGTGCGCCTGAGCGTTGAGGCGACTCCGGTAATCTGTCGTCGTTTTGCGCTGCTCTTGAGCAATCAGCTGCCGCTCTTTCCTTCGACGAGCAGCTTGATCAAATTGGTCCAGGAGGTCGTCTCCGCCAATGCGCAGAGGCTCCTGCAGCAACAACTCCGTCGGTGTGAGGTTATCCCGTGCGCCACAGGGCATGTTCCTTAGGTAGTATTGAAACCGTTGGACCTGCTTGTCCCATTCGATCGCTTTCCGAAACGTGAAAAACTTCCGCGAAAACGGATGGACCCTCTCCACCGCCTGCTGTGACTTAGGGTTGTACGCTGTTCCCGGTGCGTACTTGGTACTCGGAAACTCTTTAGCCAGCCAGACGCGGATCTTAGCACTCTCAGCGAAACCGAAGCCGTTATCAGCCCGCAGCACCTTCGGAGGACCAAACTCCAGGAAAATACGCCGACAGATTTTGATCACGGTGTCGGTGTCCTTCATCTTCGTTGCTTCGCCCCAAAACCACATGGTCGCGCTATCAACACAGGTAAACAAATGCAGATTACCGGCGCGAGTGATCTTGGACGGACCTTGGAAGTCGATGACGTAGATGTCCTTGAACTCGAGGCCCGATTCGTTGACCCGCAGAGCCGTTCTTTCCGGGGTCCCGTGGTACTCGGTACACTGGAAGCATTTTGCACAGTGCTGCGCGCAATCGTTCCAAATGGTTGGCCACCATACTCCCAAACGAGTCAGGTGCGCCATCGTTCCAGCAGCCCGAGCATGCTCAGAGTCGACGTGTGCGTGATCCAGAAAAAACCTTCTTGCAGTAACGCCAGCAGGGTGCTCCTCATTGATTTCCCAAATCCCTTTCGGGATGTACAAACTCCAAACCCCTCCACTAAAGACCACAAGCGCGCCTCGTCGTCAATGCAGTGCGGTCGTAGTAAGCATTCGAGAACGATAGCCCTGCGCTCAGCAGTCGGGATTTTGTTGCCCAGCTTCACGATGCTGTCAGCAGTTGCAAAGCCTTGCTTCAGCAGCTCTGCGGCACGACGTAGCAGAGCACATTTGGGGTCTCGCTCTTGCAGGCGAATAATCCGAAGCGACCAATCTAGCCGCAGCTTCTCGTAAGCGTTGACAGTTCTCCGCTCGCTGCGCGGAACCTTCGGATCGCCAAAAAACGCAAAGAAGTCTGCTCCTGCTACCGGCATAACGTCACCAACTGCTCCAAACTCCCAGGCCTGTCCAGCTACAAACTTATCCGAGTAGCGAGCGACGTAGACATTACGCCAATCTGGGACGCGCACCCAGTCTGTACCTTCTTCAGGTTCTACCACTTGCGACTGCGAAGGCATTGCTCTATTCGGAAAAAATTTCTTGAAAATTGTAGCGGGGTCGCGGTTCAACTGGTCCGGAGTCAGTTCTTCAGCTGGTTCTTCGATAGCTACAGGCTGCTGCTCATCCGCAGGCTCTTCCTCGCTCTCTTCCGCGCCTTCCTGCTGCTCTTCCGCCCCCTCTTCTTCGTCACTTGGCACGTACAAACTATCGTCGTCGTCGTCTGAGCTCTCGTCTGCAAACTCGTCCGGAACAGAATCATCACCAGCCTCCAGACGAGCTTCTTCAACATTCCCCCCAGGCTGGTGTGATTCAGCCTCCATATTTCCGAAACGGAAAGACGAGTACGTGGGAGTTGGCGAAAAGTCCGGCGCTTTAGGGTCAAACAGCCAGGCCAAAATCTGACGAGCGGAGAACGGAAACGGAAGCTCTTCTTTTGTCACTGTCGACGTCTTCACAGACGGGTGGCGGGAGGCTGCGTCAGCTATGACATTGATGACGCCACTGATGTACACGCGGCGGATAGCACTACTGTCCAGCTTGTACTTGACTGCCTCGAGCCATCGCAGCACTTTATCCTGAGCGCGCTGGTTGCCTACCAAGTCATCAAGTCGGCCCAAGTTTTCATGGTCGAACAGGAGGAAGCTCTGCTCTCGAGGCCTTCAACATACCGGAAGCCGTCCTCCACGAAGAGCTTCACGGCGGAAAGTTCTTGCTCCAACACTGACCAGGCCTGCTCTGTCTCATTGAAGGAGACACCTTTCACGACGCAGGGGCGTAATGGACCACCTGACCGCTCCGCCTGCGCGATCGTGTAGCTCCTACCAAAACGACTAGCGTCGCAGAGAATAACCACCGGCCGGCCAGTATTGCGCCAGTCGCGAGCAGCTTTAAAATCAATCGACCGAAGCGGGACGTCTACTGCAATGCTTTTCTTCAGAGCTTTGACTGCATGCTGCGCCTCGGTGTCGTGCTGGTACTGGGTGAAGCTCTTCCCGTGTTTCTTAGTATATGGCGCGAGAGGTCCGCGATGTCGCTGGTAGTCCGGTATGAACTCGCGGAGGTAGTTCACAAATGCCAAAAAACTAACCAAGTCGTCTTTGTTTTCCAGTTCGGGCCACTGCTGTAGCTGTTCCACCTTCCGCGGAGTAGGCTTGCGGCCGTGCTTACTGACTTGAAATCCAAGCACTTCGACCTCCCGCTTGCCGAAGACCGACTTCTTCAGTGATAGAGCAAACCCTGTTGCGCGGCAGCGTTCGAATGGTTTACGGGTTCGAGCGAGGAAACCCTCGAAGCTAGAGCCTTTGCGCACCAAATCGTCAATGAAAACGCCGTCGCAAACGTCCTCAAAGACTGAAGCCGTCTGTTTCTGAAAAAACGCTGGCGCAGGGGATGGCCCCAACGGTAGCCGCGTGGGGTAGTAGCACCCGTCAGGTCCGACAACGGCCAAAATCTGCTGCATTCGTGTGCTAGGCTTCACCTGGTTGTAACCCATTGCAAGATCACAGCACCCGAAAAACTCGCCCCCTTCCAGGTTACTGAAGATCTGCAAGGCGTCAGGCATCCGGAAGGCGACGGGCTGGAGGTTCTTGCTGACTGCCCGATAATCGACAACGATCCGCTTTGTCAAATGACCACGGCGGTCCGCCAAAAACATGGGCGAAACGTGCAACGGAGTCGGCATGGTGTTGTCGACCTTCACCAGCTTGCCCTCACGAATCTGCTCCCGGACCAGAAAGTCCATCCGAATGCGATCCATGAACGACAGCGGGTAGGGCGAGAAACATTTCCACTGCGTCTTCTCCTTAATTTCGAAATCAGCCTCGATGGGGTCCCCGGTCTTCGTTTTCAGACGCGGGAATGGGCAGCCGAGGTCGTGGAAGACGTCTGCAAACTCGCCAATCAGCTGCAAGAACTCCTCCCGCTGTTCGTCTGTATCGAACCCAAGACCGTCTTTCCGATACCTCTCTAGTACGACTTGCTTCCATTCTTCACCAGTCGGGTCGTACTGCTTCACTAACTTCTTCTCTTTTTCTTCGATTTCTGCAAGTAATTCTTCGAGCTTATTACTACCGTCTTTCTTCTCTTCTTTCTTCTTGTATTTCGAATTTCCATAATAACAGGGTTGTCGAGCTAGTCAAGCGACTGACTGCAGCAGGGACGCGTCGTTCGAGTCCTTGACCTCCTTTAAAAATGCCTCTGCATCCTGCTCATGCGGAATCGCTTTCAAAGCCTGTCTCAAGTCGCGGTCGCCTACCGATCCGACCCCGCCGTAAGAGCGAGCCAACACCTCGCGATCGTCTTGCAAGATGACGCCCGCTTTCTTGGCCTTCTTCTTGATTAGCTCGTGCTCGCGTCGCTGCTTCCGGGGAACAAAGGCGAGTTCAGGAATCATATACGCGAAGCTTCCAGACTCGGGTAGGGGCGACTGCTTCGGTTCCAAGAAATCCAAGTCAAAGCTCACTTGCTTGGGCTTCTTCTTCTGTGCGGCAGGAGGATCCGCAGGAGTATTGGTTTCCTTTAAGTCAATACGTTCTTCACTGGCTCCGTCGGGCGACGCTTTTGTCGCGGTCTTGTTAGCAGCCGGCAGCTTCTCCTCCTCCTCAAGCACGGCCTTTCCCGACGTATTGGGTTTAGGTAACTCAATATGTCGCGCCGCTTCTTCCTGGCCAGTCTCCGGGCCCTTCGTTTGCAGTGGCGGCAGCGTCGTCTTTTTCAGCTCTATCACGTCCTCCAACGCGATAGTGTGGAGACGTTTGTTGGGGTTGTGCAACGCAATCATCATGGTGTCCGGAAAGGAATTCACGTGAAGGACGGCCGGACCAGGGTAGAAGGTCAGCCCCTTGGTCTTCACCTGTTCCGAAACGTCAAGGACATACGCGCACTGCGGGTCGTGGACGAGCGGACGGACCACGTCCGCAACATCGACTTCGATCTCTTCGCCAGACGGCACCACCAGCATAGTGCCCATCTTGACGTCTTCGCCCATCTTGGACAGCATCCCGTCGACTCCGAAGCTGTGTAAGTCCTTGGGCACGTTCCGGGCAACCAAGTAGTTAGGAGCGCGCTCGAACCCCAGCCCGAGCTGCATAAACATGGCGTAGCCGCAGGCCATGTCTTCAGATAGGTCAGGAACCACCAAAAACTTCACCGCCTGGGACCACGACTTTCCGCCGTTGTTCACCCCTTCGATGGCAGTCTGCAGCGTCAAGTACTTGGACTGGATCCGACGGGTGTGCTGCTTGCGCCCAAATGTGATAACGACGTCGGCAGTTTCTTCGTGCAGGGCCTTATCGCGGTGTCGATCATACATCTCTTGCGAGATGACGCTCTGCTGCTGTCGGTTCACCAGGCAACCCGAGTCCTTCTGGCAACAGACGCGGGCGAAGGCCTGACCGTCATGCACCAGATTGACCATAACGTAAGGGCCATCCTCTCCGGTTTTCATCAGGTTCATCTCGGCAGCCGGCTCTTCCTTCGGCTCGTCAGCAGGATCCTCCTGGGCTGACTTCGGCACCACGGCGTTGCTCCCCACACCGGAAACACTGAACTGATTGCATTCGGCGAACAGCTGGCCACTCTCCGTAACCCAGTAGCGCGCGATCATCGACTGCAAGTCGTCCTTCAGATTGACGCGCACAGCAGTCAATCCCTCCGGTAGCTTGTACCTGAACTGCTCGGCGGCGAAGATCTGGGTGAGGAACTCGGAGTCGTGCAAACGCAAGTTGGAAGCTTTGGCCGAGACGAGCTTCGCCTTTCGCGGGGCATCGGTTCCAGTAACAATCACGACCTCCTTCTGGGCCGGAGCGCTCACCTGCGTGAGGCGGCCGCCACCCTTCCCGTCTTCGCGAATCGCCCACGATGTCGGTGCTCCTTTGCCAGGAGTGATCGTGATCCGCGGGAGAGGAGCATCTTCTTGTCCCTCCCTTGCCACGGCTCCGCCCGGTGCTGCCACGGGGTTCGCGTCCTCAGCGTTAGCGCCCGCCGCGTTGTCCATATTGCCGAGAGCACCAGCATCGAAGCCGCGAAGGCCGCCAAACGTAGCCGGCAGCTTGACGAAGGGCACCCGGGAGCACCGATCTAAGGCATCCGCCAGCGGAATATGCTCGCCCCGAGTCTTCAAGTGCGCCACCTCCTCTTTATGCTTCGAAAATTCTGCGGAATTTATGAAGCGAGTCATTTTGGTGCTACACCCGCAAAGACCCTTCTTCGTCCAGACACTGCACTTGCCGGCGTCCCGGCGTCGCCGGAATGCGCTGTTCGGTGCACTCGCCCAAAAGGTCGGGCAGCATTCTGCTGCGTCGGGGATGCCAGGGCGTGGCGACTCGGGAACCAAGTGAAACACGTCCTTCTTCTCGGCTTCGCTGCAAGTCGGGCAGCGTTTGTTCGCGAGCTGTTCACCGTGAAGGAGCACTTGCGTCTGTTTCTGCTCGGCCATGTAGTGCTCCTGTGCTCCATGAGCTACCGCTTCGCATTCGTCCTGGTTACTTCCGAAGGCTTGTCGGCGACCACCATCTGGGCGGATGGGGTACGGCTGCCCCACATTTCCGTAGGAGTTCTGCTGGTGGGCTGCTTCCAAATCTGGGTCGATTTCTTCCTCTCGCTGTCCGCCATAGCGGCCGGTCTTCTCAATTTTCGACCTGAGTATCTCCTTCCCCTGCTTCTTGTTCGCCGCCGACCGAATCGGCTCGAGTACCCTCTGCAGGCTCAGACGGGCCTCAGGAATGTCGTCGATCTTCGTCTCGACACGGCTGACGACCCACGGCGGCAGCCCGGAGTTGTACAGGACGTGGTTGTTCAGGTCTGACATTTCTTGGTTGGTGTCGGCCTCCGTCCCGAGCGACCAGTAAAAGTTTTTGAACTTCTTGCGCGCGCGCATTAGTTCTTCAAATTCGGCAGTAAAGTTGGAAACAAACGCGGCAAGCTGAGATGGCTGCCCTCCCTCGCATCTGACCGCTTCGAGGGACTTGCGCTGGAGGTCCAGTTCCTTCAATGGTTCCAGTCCCACCACCGCCTTCATGTCGTCGACCCAGTCGCGGGCTGCTGCAGCGTGCAAGTCGTCAGTGACGGTCGCCTTGTGGTCACTGATCATGCCGCTAAGCGAGTCGCGGACCCGCTTCCAAGCCGTCAGAGCAGTTCCGGTGGTCAGCGTCTCGAGCTGCGCCCACGCAGTTCCTGGCCGACGCTGTTTTACCCAAGACTTATAGGACTTCAGCTCGGTGAAGAGCTTCTCCGGGTCCTTCGCCGAAATCTCGATCGTAGCAGCAGCAGGCTTTGCGAAACCGGCGTCCTGCTCTGTTCCCCCAGCGTCGGGACGACTTAACAGCTTGAGCAGCAGCTCTTCCCCCTTCGTTTCGCGATCAAGCGCGCTGTTGTGGATGACAAAGGTCGCGCGGAACTGACCCTTCTCGGTCACTTTCAGGGTCACGGGGGTACTGCTCCCGAGGCTCGCCTTCATTTTCTTCGCCAGCTTCTGCTTGAAGATTTCTGCTTCTAGGTGCTTCTTCATGTACATTTTCTCGGCGACTACTTCGCCAGCAGTGCCCTCGTCTGTGCATTTCAGGTCCATGAAAACCATGCACGGAATTTTCAACAACTTCTCTTTCACCTCTTTCAGTTTCTGACCGTCCTGCTCGTCCTCGCTTAGGTCGTCGAGCACAGCAAGATAAGAGTCGAAGTTGTTACGGAGCTGACCAGTCTCGAGACGAGTCTCGAGGACGACTTCGGGCAAAACTTCTTCTTCAACATCTTCAGCGTGGCCGTCGAGGTCCTCGCTGCCCCAGTCGCCTTGGGCCTCCTGCTGCTGTTCCCCGCTGTGGAGGTTCTGGCGGACGGTTCTTGCGCGGGGACGACGTGCCCCCTTCTGTTCGCCGTTCGGGTCATGAAGGACCGCGGTCCCTTCCACGATCTGGGACCAATACTTCCTGTCCAGGTCCGACTTGCTTACCGAATTTCGCAAACTGATTTGCAAAAATTGACCGAGTTGCTCCGCGTAAGCGTGGCGGGGCACACTAATGAAGCGCGCTCCGTCGGCGTACTCCGCAGTAAAGTAGAAGCAGCTTCCTCTATACCCTACGCAGATGAATGAGCGGCCGTCTTGATGCTCATAGCCTTCTCCGGGTTTTAGCGTCGGCCCGGCGGCGAAGACGTTCGTCGTTGCCATCTTGACGCGGTGGGTTCGTGGTTGTGGAAGTTTTTTCGGGTTGGTGGGGCTGTAGTAGTCTTCGGGGTCGATAGTTGTAGTGGCGCTGTGGGAGTCTTCGGGGTCGATGGTTGTCGTGCCCAGGTTGTCGTAGATCAGCTGATGCACCACTTTGAGTAATTCGTCGCTCCTGACAGCAATTTATCACGACTTCGAGCACCGACGGCAGAGGTTTTTCCGTAGACTTCCGCTGCAACAATTGCAACGTCGTCTTCGAATGCGGTCGACCTTACAGCTCTTCTATTTCGCTCTTCTAACTTCTCCCTTCTAGGTATTGAAATAACTCGCTCCAGTAGTCTTCTACACTTTCTAGCTGTCAGCGGGTTTTCTCGAGAGTCAGCAGATCCTCGACAGCACTTCAACTTCAACAGCACAGAGAAAGCAGCTTTGACACTTATCTTCGACTTCAGTAGGGACAGCAACAGCAACAGCGACTTCGACAGCAAAAAGGACGACTTCGA